ACTGTACAGAAAGGTTGGGATGTAGCACGAGATGCAACAAATCTTATTCCAAATCCTGAAACAAGAGGAAAAGTTCAAGGATGGATGGACAATGTAGGAAGACAAGCAGGAAACTATTATAACAAAGCAGATGACTACTATAACCAAGCAGGACACTATATGGACCAAGGTGAAAGATTCTTTAACAGAGGATATAACCATGCACAACAATGGGTAAACAATAACCAACCTCAACCGCCTCAAACGTGGGGAATGTAAAGTTTTTTACTGAGATGAAATGAACAATACAGCATTGAGACAAATGGGTTCAAGATGGATTTGTCGGCTTCCAGCAGTTACACCACGTGTTTGTCAAGTTCTTCCTATACCTCAGGAAGTTTTAGACCGACTTAAAAAACAACAACAACCAGTTGAAAACAAACCAAACTAAAATTTTTTACTGAGATGAAATGACCGAAGAAGTTGAAACGGTAGATTTGACACCACAAACAAAAAGTTCAGAACCATTGTCAAAACCTGTCAAAGAACTTACAGATGAAGAGAAAAATTCAATAATAGAAAGTGCCAGATCTGGAAATACAAACCCTAACTATAAAGTCACTTTTCATAAAAATGGAACGGCTAGTATCTCAAAAAAGAAACAGACTCTCACAAATAAAATATTGAAGTCTGAAGGAGCTTTCGAGACAACAGATGGAAAAGTTTACTTCACTGACCAACAGTTCATTATAGAACATCTCATTGACTTAGAGTCAAAATATTCTAAACTTTACAACAAACACAAAAAGTTGAAAGGAAAACAAAAACAAATGGCATATGATATTTATGAAGATGTTGACGACACAACTGTTCCTGCAAGTGAAGTAAAGTCAGAGGAACCGAAAAGTGACGAAAACCGATAGAAGAAGAAAAACCAAAAACTGAAGATAAACCAAAACCAAAGTTTAGTTTGGAAAACTAAACCAAGTCAACCTTCATTAGCTGGTATGGGTTGGCGTCAAAGACTTATGGCAGCAGGCGGTTATGTAAAGTAAAGAAAAAAATATTTTTTTATTTTTATAAAAATGCCCCCATATAGAATGGATAGAAAATCTGCTAGAATAAAAGCAGAGTTGCAAAGATATGGTTGGAGAGTTTCGAAGAAGTTTAAATATAGGAAGGGAAGACCCATAAAAGTCTATGACAAATTGTCTGGTCTTCGCTACGAAATGGATTTGGAAACAGCACGTGCCAATTATCCAAACAGACTAGAGAGGTTAGAAGAAGAACGTCTTATGGACATGCCTTTCGATGTTAGTGAACCTCAAGTTGAAGGACACGACGGCTTTGCCAGATTCTACTGGAAACATGACGAACAATTGCATCCTTTGAGAAGGAAAAAGGAAAAGGTGAAGACACACATGCTCCCATGGAAAGAACAAGATATGCATATGAAAAGTACCGTGAAGTTAGAAGTCAAATTACATCTGGTCGAACCTTTACAGTAAACTTTGACGAAGGAAAGAACAAAGAAGGCTTCATGGGAGTACTTGCTGCCATACAAGACGGAAATAAGAAAGGACACAATCTCAGATTGACCATAACAGATTTGGATGGTCACATTTACTATGCACATGGCAATGAACAAACAGCCGCAAAACTTTGACGCTTTCAAGACTACAAAGAGAGAACAAATGGTTGACTCCGACTCAGACATTTTGAATGCAATTGAAGGAATTGCAAGTGTCAAGTTCGAATGGTACCAACCTAACCCTCAAGCAGTCAGACAACATGCTGGATACTTCCCCTTCAGAAATAAGTCTGACATTGACTTGACAAGGTATGGAATTTACAATTCAATTGAAACAATTGTCAACGAACCTTGCATTCTTACATGTCTCAGGAACTCTGGTCTTGTTACAGATGAGAAGATGAAGTATCTTGAGTCATGTGTGAAGACAAGGTACATTCTCAGAGGTCAATTGGCAAAAATTGCACCGTTGGCAAATGTCAATATCCGAGTCAACATACCTACAGCTAAAGGTTCTTCACATGACGACTATGTTGTTGACTTCAAATTGCCATGGTTGAAGATTGTACTTGTCCACAACCACTTCATGTTGAACGAAAGTCTTACAAACCCATTGTTCGGAAAAGGCAAGTGCAACATTGTCAGAGCTGTAAACATTCTTTTCGAGAATTTTGTTGGAACCAATTCCAGATGACAAGCTGACAGAAACTTTTGTACCAAAAGATGAAACAAACTTTTCACTGTTAGCAAGACCAAAAGTTGTTCCAGACAAAGTTCTAGTACAAAAGAAGTACACAATTCCACAAGGAGTTGGATTGTTCGGATACCAACCTGAACCAGAAGAACTTCCAATGAGGTTGCAAGAACTTCAAGATGCTATAAACAAACTTCCATTGAGACATCCAATTGACGTCAAATTGTATTGGAGAGCATCTGAGTTAGGTCAGAAGGTTTTATATGAAACAGGTTGCTTCGACGATGTTTATGAGATAACAGGAGAAGTTTCTCAGAAGATAAGAGACTCACTTGAATTTCCACAAACTGGACCAATTGGTTGCGACAAGTTCGACTCAGATGAAAAGATATACTATGTCGACCTTAACGCTGCGTACATGAGGTTTGTCCAATATATTCCGACTGGAATTCCAAACGAAGATGGTGAGTTCCCGGGAAGGAACTATACAGTTGGAAAAGTCATACAACAACTGTATGATATTAGGAAAGCTTCAAACCCCAAACTTGCAATGACACTCAAATTGCTTATGAATTCGACATGGGGATATTCCATTAAGAAACCTCAAGAGATGAAGAGTAAACATTATGAGAAGGTCGACAACTTTGTTGAAAGGTTTTCTCCTTTTGTTTTAAAGTACGAATTCACTCAAGGTCAAAGTGGCTTAGTAACCACACTAAAACCTATTGTCGAACATTGGTCTTACCCTCAGTTCGCAAAGGCAGTCCTTGACAACTACAACAAATTCTTCTCCGAAGTAAAATCCAAAGTCAAGGTTTACTATGAGAACATTGACGCACTCATGACGAACGAAGAAGGGTACAACAAACTCATTGAAATGGGTATGGTCGGTGAAAAGATGGGTCGATTCAAATTGGACAAAATTTTCACCGAAGTTCATGTCCTCTCCAAGCGTAAGTATTGGGGCATACTTGAAGACGGCACAGAAATAAAACATTGCATGAAATAAAAAATTTATTTTTAAAAAAGTGACATTTTTTAATTTTATTTGAAATGTACGCTGAGTTTGTTGGAGAAGACCGTTGGGAAACTTGTTTGTTAGATGAGAAATATGAAATGGCATACCATTTTAAAACAATATATTTTTACATATATTAAATGCTTCAGGTTGAAAAACAAAGAACAAAAGTAGCAGATACAAAACCGTTAGACTATATCTTTACAAATGCTGGTAGGACTATTTCAGATGAAGAAATTTCATCCCGAGTATACAGGTTTGACTATCCAATTCGTTGGCTTCAAAGTCCTTCAGATGCAAAGGCAATAGGATTTAGAAGAGTTTTGTTTTCAAATAGAACTAACGCATTTATGTTCGCAGTATATTTTCATGGGCAGTATAAAGGTCCATTTCAATAGACAAATTTGACGAAATGAGAATCTTTACAGTTCGTTCAGACGAAAGTCTTGAGAAAACTCTAAATGACTTTCAAACTCAAATGAACAAATATTATTGGGAATTTCAAGAAAAATACGACTCTTTACTAAATGGAACATACTATCTGAAACTAGAATATGACAAGATGAACTCCACCGTTTCATTTCAAAAGATTGAAATTAACCCTCCAAGAGATACAGAGTTTTTATTTTGGAAAGTAGACAAACGTTCTTGGGCACAATTTCTTCGGTTACTAAACCAGAACGAACCATTACCACCAGATGGTCCATTTAAATTTATACTTCCACCAGCAGATTTGACAGTTTATAGAAACGTGTTTGACCCTCAAAATGTTATGTGTCATGCAAGTTTCAGTTCAAGCAACAATAGTTTTCTATGTATTGGTAAGGACTTTTATGACTTTGCTTCTAAATTCTACGAACCACCTAGTAACAGTTTCTCTGACTTTCAAGTTTGGTTCACAACAAATGGTGTGCAACATATTATTCCATTGTACTATGACTTTTATCTCGAATTGTCTTTCATATATAACTACGGAAAAGTGCTGAAAAAGTATTGAAAAATAATGTTTATGTTAGCATGTTAGATCTAACACGTTTTCTAACCACTTTTCTAACATCGTAGAAAACTCATGAAAACAATTTATTTTTGACACTTTCACAAAAAACATAAAAAAGTGAAGTTAAACGTTAAGGTTTACTGAACTGGTTGGATGTCGCCTTCACAGGTTATGTAGAATGGCTGACCCGAGAAGCGAAGGAGAGACTGAATTGCCAATTTCATATGGGGTAGGGGGTTCTCCTTGTTTGGTATTTTTATCCAAGGATGTTTGTTTAGGAACTTAACAAGAGCTTCTCTTTTGGCGTCCTTTATGTCGTCGAAAGGAGTGTTTTCTGGTATTTGAATTGGAATTCCAGTCGAAGTCTCGAGATTCAAGGCAGCCCTTCCAGAAATAGCGGTGAACTTGACCTTGGGCTTCATGACCTTGCGCAAGTAGTCTTTAACAAGCTCGTTAATTTCAATTAGGTAAACTGCCTCGTCAAATCCTTCTGGCATTCCGAGTCCTTCCATCCGACAGGAAAATATTTTCCCGACAACTGGAAAAAATTTTCCTTCCGACAGAAAAAATTTTTCCTTCCGACAGGAAAAAATTTTCCAGTTGTCCGTCCGTAAACCATTCAAATTTTCGAAAATTGAGAACTTTTTGGTCGAACTTCAGAAAAAGTTTTTCCTTCCAACAGAAAAAGTTTTTCCTTCCGACAGGAAAAGTTTTTCCTTCCGACAGGAAAAGTTTTTCCTTCCGACAGGAAAAGTTCTTCCTTCCGACAGGACACAAACAAATGTCCCACGTCCCACCAACCGAGTCCATTCCCAAACCAGAGGAACCTAAAGAACCACAACAGTCTCCTCAGCAACCTCAGTTCCAGCAAGTACCTCCGAATTTCTACCAATTTCCACTTCAAGGTTACTACCTACCACAAGGCTTCCCGAACTACCCTCCTCAGCCTATGCCTTACTTCCCCAACCCTTGGATGTTCCAGCAAGCTCCACCCCAGCAATTCCAATCTCAATCCAAATCGAAGAGAGACCAAGAGTTCGAAGAAGGTCTGAACCGTTTACGCAAAGAGTACGCTACAGCCCCTATTGAGAGAAAGTTGTTCCCGGACCAAAAAATATAATTTAGGGTAGAAGGTTAGATCTAACCTGTTTTCTAACCTGTTTTCTACCCTCATGAATTTTCATGAATTTCCTTAGGATAGAAAAAATAAAGTTAGTTTTATACAAAATTCATGCAGGAAATTCTTGAGTTTTGGTTGAAAGAATACGGTGGAGCCAAATGTGGCTCGACCTCAAAACAAGCATTTTATGAGCTTACAAAGGGTGTTATGAATGAATTCAAATGTATTTACATACATCCTGACCTCGTTCATTTTGTTGCTGAATTCAGCAAAAATAATGTTTAGGGTAGAAGGTTAGATCTAACCTCATTTCTAACCTCATTTCTAACCTCTTGAATTTTCATGATTTCATCGTACATGTTTTGTCAAGACTTCATCGTAAATGTTTTGTCAAACATGAACGTACATGCTTTGTCAAACATGAACGTACATGCTTTGTCAAGACTTCTTCGTAAATGTTTTGTCAAACATGAACGTACATGCTTTGTCAAACATGAACGTACATGTTTTGTCAAGACTTCATCGTAAATGTTTTGTCAAACATGAACGTACATGCTTTGTCAAACATGAACGTACATGCTTTGTCAAGACTTCTTCGTAAATGTTTTGTCAAACATGAACGTACATGCTTTGTCAAACATGAACGTACATGCTTTGTCAAGACTTCATCGTAATGAGTGTAAAGGACCCAAAAATATAATTTAGGGTAGAAGGTTAGATCTAACCTGTTTTCTAACCTGTTTTCTCACCTCATTTCTACCCTCGTGAATTTGTCAAGACTTCATCGTAATGAGTGTAAAGGACCCAAAAATATAATTTAGGGTAGAAGGTTAGATCTAACCTGTTTTCTCACCTCATTTCTACCCTCTTGAATTTGTCAAGACTTCTTCGTAAATGTTTTGTCAAGACTTCTTCGTAATGAGTGTAAAGGACCCAAAAATAATGTTTAGGGTAGAAGGTTAGATCTAACCTGTTTTCTCACCTGTTTTCTCACCTCATGAATTTTCATGAATTTCCTTAAGATAGAAAAAATAAAGTTAGTTTTATTTTTTGTATTTTGTATTTTTTTGTATGTAAGATATGATTTCAGGGATTTTTTTGACGAAGTGTTAACGTTCACTTCGTCAAAAAATAACAGTTATCTAATGAAAAAGTGTCGTTTTTTTCATTTTTTTGTATGTAAGATATGATTTCAGGGATTTTTTTGACGAAGTGTTAACGTTCACTTCGTCAAAAAATAACAGTTATCTAATGAAAAAGTGTCATTTTTTTCATTTTTTTCATTTTTTTTGTATTTGACGAGAATGTCGGGTAGAAGGTTAGATCTAACCTGTTTTCTACCCTCATTTCTACCCTCGTGAATTTTCATGAATTTTCCCGAAATAAAAAATAAAGTTAGTTTTATTTTTATTTATTTTTTTATTTTGTATGTAAGAACAGAAATGTCAACAATCGGCACAACAACAATTCAAACAACTACAGCACCAAACTCGTTAGTCATGAATCCTACGTCAATGTTGGTAGAGATGAAAAGCTTCATTCCTTCTTCATATACTTTCGAAACAGAAATCCAGAAGATAAAGCAAGAACTTTTAACAAGTAATTTAGACTGTAGTGCGAAAGATGAAGAAAATGAAGAATATCTTTATGAAATGGAGGACCTCATCGACCATTTGCCCAAATTGCCTGAAATCCAACAACAAAAACTCACTATTCCTGAATTCGATGAAATAGAAGTCAAAGCAACTGACTCAGTAGAAATAAAGAAGTTCATACGAAAGGTAAACTATGAGTTTCTAGGATTTCATTGCAACCATAAAGTTATGGACAAAGATTGCGACATGGTATATAAGAATGTTCTGACATATATAAATCTGAAGAATTTAAGACCTACGACAACTTTGTTTCGTTAGTTGCTGAATGTGTATGGCAGATAAGAGATAAAGATAGAAGAGGTAAAGTATGGAATAAACAGATAAAACCAGCAGCTTTTGAGTTAAAGAAAACCATTGACGCCTTAGTTGTTTTAGCAGGTAAGGTTTCAGAATATAACGCAAAAATGAACCCGCAATGTTCAAAATGTAAAGCGGCAATTAGGAAATATAACTACTCCGTCAAAGAGATAGAAAGAATGAGAAACGACTATGCAGACTTAAAGAAAGAAGCAGAGAAGCCGGTAGAAAATAAAATGGACATGTTAGAATTTCTGAACAAAAACTATCCAACTGCTGACGATTTCCTTCTATCTGACGTCAAGAAGAAATATAAAGAGACTTTCGGCATAGTTAAAACATTCGATATCCTCAGCGAAGAAATAGAAGCTACAAAACTGTTTAGAGTCTCACGAATTCATAACGTTTACCATGTAAAACGCTTATAAAATAACTGGGGTAGAAAAGAGGTTAGAAAACAGGTTAGATCTAACCATCTACCCTAAAATATATTTTTATTGAATTCAGCAACAAAATTCTGAGTAAAATAATTTTTAGGGCTTGTGTCAAACCGTTGAGTTTTCACAAAATTTAAAAAATAACGTTTACCATGTAAAACGCTTATAAAATAACTGGGGTAGAAAAGAGGTTAGAAATGAGGTTAGATCTAACCTCTTCACCTAAACATTATTTTTGCTGAAAAATGACCAAAAATCATGAGTTTTGTGTGTTTTAGACCATGTTAGAAAACAGGTGAGAAAACAGGTGAGATCTAACCATCTACCCTAAAATATATTTTTGCTGAATTCAGCACAAAAATCATGAGTTTTGTGTGTTTTAGACCATGTTAGAAAAGAGGTTAGAAATGAGGTTAGATCTAACCTTCTACCCGACATTCTCGTCAAATGAAAAAAATGAAATAAAACTAACTTTATTTTTTATTTCGGGAAAATTCATGAAAATTCACGAGGGTAGAAAACAGGTTAGAAAACAGGTTAGATCTAACCTTCTACCCTAAAATATATTTTTGCTGAAAAATGACCAAAAATCATGAGTAAAATGGCATAAGATTGCTTCCCTCGGAAAACCGAGAGAAGAGATTCCGTACGAAAACAGTGAAGAACAGCGAGTAGGTAAGAAACCTTAGTCGCCAAAACTCTATGAAAACAGTGAATTTCCTTAAGATAGAAAAAATAAAGTTAGTTTTATTTTTATTTATTTTTTTATTTTGTATGTAAAGACAGATATGTCAACAACAGAGAACACAACAACAGTTATAGTCCATGAAGCTATAAATGAAGAATACGAGTACATACAGTTTAACAAACAACTCCGTCTCATTCGTTCGGTCAAAGACGATATGTACCAGATGCAAAGTATTTTGACAGCATGTTTTGCTCCAGATACCAAACATACAGACGATTGGTTCAAAAACCAAAGCACACAAGAACTTTTGAGCGAAGCACAGCGAGACCGACTTTTTTCGGGGTCGCCTAAAACTCATGAAAATCGTAAAAATTTCCAAATGGTTTGAGAGGTTGGTATGTACATAGACTTCTTGTAAATGCTGTTGCAATGTGGGCTTCGCCTCGTTATGCTTGGTATATTTACAGACTTCTTGACGAAATTCATAGACAAGACGTGAAGAGATGGAAAACAAGGTTGAAGCAAAAGACAAAAGCATTCAGAAAAGAATACACGTTCGGTACCAAAAGGAAAGGAAAAGAACTATAAGTATATGATTTATACTGAAGAGTTGGAGAAAGAAGAAGACAGAGATATGGTTATGTTGCATTTAGTCAGAAGAAACAACAAAAGCTTTTACGACCTTGCTAAGATTTACAATCTGACAGAAATTGGTTCTATCGCGAAAACTTACCGATTTCAATGACCCCAAATGAAGATGTGAAACAAATAGTTCAAGATACGTTACCTCAAACACACTATGATATGAAAGGTTGTACAATACTTACCTTCAAAGAAGACTTACCGCTACTGAAGGAAAAAATAACAGAGTATTTTGACAACTTCAAACAAGTAGGGTAGATGCACTCTTTATTTTTCAAGCTTGACTTTTTACAATTTGAACTTTGTTCGCGTAGATATGAATTCTGAAAGAAGTATGAGGGTCTTGTATGACTTTATACTTCTCCCATAGTTCATATCTGTCAAACTTACTGCTGCCATGGACTCTTTCATAAGTTCCATGAAATCGTCTTCGGACAATCCGGGGAAAAGTATAATGTCAGTAAGTATTCTTTTAAAACATCCTTACTTAAACTCTTTGCTGTCTGTACACATATTACGACTGAGATGTTAAAGTGTCTGAGCTTCTTAAGAATTCGACACATATCTTGTTCTCTATTCTTTAACAAAGGATGAGAGGCGAAATCATCTAAGATAAGAAGACACCTATGAGGGTATGTCTTCCAATCGTAAGATTGCAATTTCTTCGAAATGTATTCTATCTCTTTCTGTTTGTTTCTGAAGTGTTTCTTCTCTAATATTCTCTGCATTTCCTCATTTGGGTCTTTAAACTTCGAATTGACATACTCATTTATAGCATTATACTTCAAAACTCTTCTTTGGTACTTCTTTATCCAATCTAACAACTCAGTATCCTTTATACATACTAACTTAGACTTCTTTATAATATCTTTGAACGAATTGACGGTTTGGTCAAATTGACCAGAAGTACTACAAATAACAACTAACTCATAGAATGGGTTCTTCTCATCTAGTTCTTGTTGTTGTGCAGCCATTTTAAGATAAGTGAAAGTCTTACCCGACCCAGGTGGTGCAATTAGACCTGTTATACCATTCTGAGCAAATAAGAACTTGTCATGTATAGGTTTTATCTGAGCATTTTCTAACTTCCTCTTGTTCTTGTTTAAAACATTCTCAAATTTCTTGTCAATGTCAGCAAACTTTTTTTCTAACATATTTTTAGAAAAATTAAAATTTTTATCTTTTAGAAAATGTCTAGCGATTTCGCTATCTATATTCGAGACAAACTTTTTGACAGCAAAACATCTGTCGACCATAAAATCTTACATAGTGTAAACAAGAAAGGTGAATTTGTTCTAAAGTTCTGTTTCTGGGAATATGACAAGAACCATAAAACATTAAGCAGAGCAGTCTTAAAATTTGTCAATGACAGACTTGTTGACAGAGATGACGCCGATTGGAAAGATGAAGTCCAACAAAAGTTCTTAGAATGCAAAGAAGACACATGCGCTGTTCTTGAAGATGAAATAGAAAACAGAATAGAAGAGCTATTAAAGGACAAAGAACTTTTACATAAATATGGTTGCGCCAAATTTGACATAACTCCACCAGAAAAGAAGAAGAAAGAAAAGAATGAAAAGAAAGTAGAAGAAGAGAAGAAAGAACCTGAACCAGTTCCAGAGAAAAAGAAATTTGACATGTAAAAATAAAATTTTATTTTTAGAACATTTCTGGGTCAATGTCAATGTTCTCTTCCTCTTTAGGAGCAAACACTGGCTTAGACTCTAAAATCTTTTTACCCAATTTACCTTGAACTTCAACTATCTTAGACTCATAATATTCATAGTCGTCTGCTTTCTTTGGTTCATAAGGTATAACAAGTTTGTATGCTTTGCCTTCTTTAAGGTTTGAAAACCTTCTGTCAAAACTTTCTTTGACTGCTAACAAACCTTCTATGTCTAAGTCTTCAAATTTCGCACCATTTTTAGTCACAATAGCAAACTTAACTGGTTCGATGTTCCAAACTTTGCTGAATGAAGACTTTTCAAAATGGTAGAAGTAAACATTCAAATATGTGAATGGGTCTAGTTCTTCTTTAAGTCCTGACATGTACTTGTTTACTGAGATGAATTTCGTCATCTTTTCTATCGGATAAAAAAATATTTTTTTTTAAATTTACTCATAAAAATTTTTCTTTGTATATACACCATTCTGTACGTCTAAAAGACTTTTGACATTTGCCAAGAATGTTCGTTTAGACGCTGTCATATAACCATATTCTTGACAATATTGTTTATACGAATCGTACAATGACCTTTCATCTAATGACACAAAGTCAGTTTCATCTATGAACAGTTCATATACACTCTTGTTTGCTTCTAACAATGTTTGTCTCTCTTCTGTATGTGGAATTTGTCTTGGATTGAATTTAGAAATATCTAATATCATGAAATATGAGAACAAGTGGTTGTAAAAGTCAGATGTCAAAGTTTCTGCTAAGTCGTCAAAATATTCTGTATCTTGCATATGAGAATCTGACGTTCTGACAACTACATATCTTCTGTCAGAACTTTCTAACTTCATCGGAACAACATTGTTTGAAACCATAATGAAGTTTGCAACATTTTCACAAACTCTTTGGTCTTTATACTTTCTTTCAACAACTCCAACTTTGTCTGTTATAAGACTCTTCAAAGCATCTGAGTTCAAAACTTTTGTTGTATCTATACTTTGAAGTTCATTGCAAACTATAAGTTTCATATTCTCAATAGAAGAGTTAAACTTGCCACAGATGTTTTCTAAGTTTGTCATATTCGGATTCGAATAGCCCTCTAATAGTTTGCATAAGATATCTGTAAAGAATGTGTTCTTACCAGTTCCTTGTTTTCCAATTATAATGAGAGCAGTTTCATTTTTAGCACTTGGATGTTGTAAGATGTTTGCAAACCAACATAAGATATACTCATAGACTCTTTCGTTTCCATTGCATATAATTTCTTTGACATGGTCTAACCAAGCTTCTATAATATTTTCTTTCCATTCTACTTGTTCGTATTTATATCCAGTGAAGATAGAATAGAAGTTTGGAGAAGGTGTATAGAACTTTATACCTCGAACTGAAAAATCTTCTAACTTTGACAATAAGATATCCCAAGCATCTAACATCTTCATGCCAACTTGTACAACTTTTATTTTCTTAAGTTTCTGTCTACATTCTTGTTCTGAAACTATTGTTGCTCTTGGTTTGTTAAAGACTACATCCCATTCTTTCATAACATAACATTCTGGGGCAGAGTCGACATAAATGACTAAACGTTTCAAATTCTCGACTGCTTTGTTATAGTCTCGAAATGGACACATATTTCTGAATGCTTGGAAGTCATAAAAATCTGAAACATCTATTCTGTACATTTTTATAAAAATAAAAAAATATTTTTTTTTATTCTTGACTTTGTTGTTGCATTTGTTGCATTTGTTGTTCTTGAGCTATTTGTTGTTGAAGTTGTTCTTGTAATACAATACTTTCACCAGTTGCATCTTCCAATTCGAAACTTTCTGCCGTCATTGACAAATACATAGGACATAAAAGTTTTACAGGAACAAAGTTTGCGTCAACTAATGTCAACGTTATACTTGCCAAAGTGTTTGAGTTCACTAAGGTTGAAAATTCTGCATTCGAATGAACAATAGGCAAACCAGCAGAGAAAGTATTGTTTATACGCATAAGTATCTTTTGGTCATAATAGTTTCTGTCAACATTCGAATAACACTTTGAACCTAAGTTTGAAACAATATATAAGATTGGTGTGCTTAATGTCAATGGAATAGACATTCCTTGTATGACACCTTTTCCTGTTATAGGAAACTGTTGGTAGTAAAAACCAGAAATAAGTTTTGTATTATAGCTCATATCGTTTATAGTAAACTCAGTCGGACATCCAAACATAATGAAACCTGCTCTAGTTGCAGCACATGTTACACCTGTACTTAAAGTATTAAATAAGTCAACAAAACCTGTTGGTGGTATATCTGAGTAAGTATCTTCAAAGGAGTATTTTTTACCATTCACAACAATAAAGTCTTCTGGTGTCAAAAGAGCAAAACAGGCTTTAGTCGTCATTGTGTTTAAGGTTAGTTTACAATATCGTCCTTGAGGACTTTGTAAGTTTGTTGTTATAGAATTATATGACTCAGGTTTTAGTCGTAATAGTATAAACCATTATGTCTTCTGCCATTTATATATATTTAAAAGTTTTTCTGAAAGTGGAGAAGAACTTCATCTAAACTTTCACATGGCGTTTCTTGAAGTTCTCTGTCTAAGAAGTTCAAATATTTTGTAAAGACATAGAACTTTCCTTTGTCTACACGAACAAACAAAAGGGTCTTTCATATCGTTCAAAAGTGTGTAAAGTCCTTTACATGAAATAAAGTCTATATTATTTTTCTTCAAACATCTTTCAAGAAGTTTTGACATTTTTACTTAGCAAATAAATTTTAATGAAATGTTGTGGTCGTCAAATATTTTTATGACGTCTGGGAAACTATACTTTAAGTTCAACGTTTCACCTCCTTTCATAACGTATATCTTGTCAATGACATTATATGAAACACCACAGCAACTAATGTCGGGTTCTATTTCTTTGATGTTATATCGTCTGCCTCTGTCAAAAGTTTCAATAGTTCTTTCAAAACTTCATGAGGTGCAATGACATATGAGTTCACTTTTACAGGGTTGTGTTCGACCAAGTTTAAATTATACTTAAAGCTTGACAAATCTTCTCCTGAGTTTGAAGTTTGTCTTTCAGTTGTTGGTAGTCGTTTCGAATATCTGCAACAGAACTTAAGTCTCTGCTAACTTCAGGATATGTTGGTTGTTCTTTTACAGGAACAATTGTTATACCATCTTCGTCCTTATGGTTTCCCCACTTCAACATCTCTGTCTTTGACATTGACAATAACACTTTGACTGTTTGTTTGAGTTGGTGAATTTAACTTCACATCTGCCACCGCCATTAAACCTTTTGAAACACTTACGCTTCTATTTTTCGGAAATGACATTTTACTTAGAATAAAAAGATGGACGTATTCGAGTATCTCTTCGAATTGAAAGCAGAACAAAGTTTACACACACAAACAATACAAATACATTGACAGAATAGTTCTTTATACAAACAATGGTAAATGTTATAGAATAGCAGTCTTTGCTGAACCAAAATATTTTCATAAAGCAAAGAAAGTTGGTATAACTGAAATGGTGAAAGTTCTTGAAGCAGACAAAAATATAACTTCAAAACTTACAGATATTTCTAAAGGAAAGTTTATAATACAATATTATGTCAAAACTGGCGTACTGTCAATATTTGACGGAGAGAAGTCAGTTCAAGAACAACTTACTGACCTGCTGCCAAAATCTGCTCGATGGAAGCTGTCGTTATGCCAATCTGAGGAGCCCCAGCAGGTTTCATTCGAACGAATCTTCAAAAGAGCATCTTCCGTGAAAAGTGCTATTGGTTTTGTAAACTTCTTTGCTCTCAATTCATCTGGACCGTCTCTGTCACCAGTATATTGTATTTGTACAGTACCAACAGTTGAAATACCACCCATAAAGTCTTCTGAGTCAGCAAATGGAATGCCAAGCCAAAAGTTTGAACGGTCTCCATTTGTATATTGAGTTTTTTGACCTCCTGTATGAGTCCATACTTTCACATATGGCATAATAGAACTTTGCATTTCAGGGTTAATGGTTGTTGTGAAATTGTTGTTAAAGTTCATAGCATATCTATGTCAAGTTGTATGACCTCATATCCTCAACTGTAGAATATTCTTCTCTTGGATAATATTTGCCATCTATGTTTATATGATATTTAATACCGGGGTTGTAGAAACAAGAATAGTCATTTATAGTTCGTCTGAACAGTACACAACATAGTATCTGCATGTTTCATTGCAGTTGTTAAAGCAATATCTGTTCTTGCACCTGGGTCAGCACTTTGGTTTCCAACTTCACTGCAAAGTCTTTGACAGATATTTGGTGTATAGGGAACATAAGTGGAACTGCAATATATTTGGCAGCTAAAGCATTTGAAATATCTGGGTCCAACATATAGACTGCAAGTCTGCTTTCTATTCTCTTGCATTCAAATTTTTCGCATGTAAACTTAACTGGGTCCCAAGCAGTTCCAGCAGCATTGAAATAATAGTTTACTTCATTGTTGAAGTTTGAGAAACAACAGTCTAAGTCAACTTTGTCTTTGCAAAATTCGGCGAATGACGTTTGATTTGTTCCCTTTACGTTGTGTAATAGTGAATGGGTCTTGTGTTGGTGCAATGACTAAGTTATTTTTGCTTGGAGTAAGTTCGATAGAAATTTTTCCTGCCCAGTTTGGCAAGTATCTTAAAAACCTGAAGATGAGGAAAGATGACAAAGGAACTCTAAGTTTCAGTTTTACTTTAGTGGCAGCATTTCCATCTGAACCAGAAAGGTTAACATAAACTCCTGGAACGTTAGGCGTCAAGTCTTCTTATTTTCTCAATATTTGCATACTGGTCTGTTTGTTCTCTAGCTTGTGGTTGTACTGAGTTTCTCAAAGCGAACCATTCATAGTTTGCCCATGTTACTGTTGAACTAAGTCAGAGTTAGAATATATCTTATATCCCATGAAAACTTCTGGAGCATATTGGTATCCGACATAGAAAATTCCATTGCAACCTTTCTTGTCAGACAACTTGGCAGAAGGTTTTATTTCAATGTCTTGTTCCACGTATAAGAATGAGTTGTCAATAGAAATAATATAGGGTGTCCAAAGGTGCGTTTAGCACAGCGCTCTATATGAGACTATTAAAGGAGATATATGCTGATTATAAATATATAATAAAAAATATGAATATATGTATATGATGAGTAAGTTGTATTTTGGCGCCATGCCGGGATATAAAATGAATTTTGAGACAAGAGGCGGTTTCGCGGGAAATTTTGGCGGGATTTTTTTCATTTTTTTAATGAATCATAAAGAAAACATCCTCGCTCTTGCAAAAAAATGCAAAGCCTGTAAAAAATCTACGAGACATTTGGTAAAAATGCTTCGGTATGGATGCTCCTAGCTATTCCACTGTAACGTATCATGTTAGGATGTATCACTTCATGAACAAAAAGGCGCTCATCATAAAATTGACAAAAAATTGCGGATCAAAGAAAAATCAAAGCAATTCTTCAAGCGCTAGATGAAGACCCAAGAGCATCACTCAGAAAGATAGAGGAGATGACAAAGATACCACGTACAACAGTCAGTTATTATCTGCACAATTATTTGAACTACAAACTAGCGTATACACGTTGGGTTCCGCACAACCTTAATTCAGTTCAAAAAAAATCTAGAGTCCAATCTTCGAAAGAGCTCCTCTCTATATTGGTGCGTATCAATCCAAGAAGTTTCGCTTTTTAGTAACAGGGGGACGAGTCTTGGTTTCAATATGCAACAGAAGCCAAAATCATGTGGATCCCGAAGGATGAAAATCCGCAAACATTCCCGAAGAAAAAAATTGACACACCAATGATGATGTTGTCGGTTTTTTGGGGCGTGAATGACATCATCGCAATTGATATTCTTCAAAAACCTAATACGATGAATGCTCAGTATCTAATTGACAATGTTCTTACTCAAATTATCAATTCTGATGTGTTTGAGAAATCCAAACAACAAAAACAAAAGTTTGCAATTCATTTTGATAATTCAAGAGTTCACAAAAGTCATAAGGTAATGAATTACTTGGTGGAAAACAATGTCAAAGTTGTTCCAAACCCAATTTATTCACCTGATATTGCACCCTCTGACTTTTATTTATTCGGCACGCTAAAAAAGAGAGCTGAAGGACGCGAATTCGCGAGTCCAGATGATCTTGAAAATTTTGTAAGAGAGCAATTTGAGCAATTTTCTCATGATGATTTAAAGCGTGTCTTTCAAGCCTGGATCGATCGCTGCGAACGCGTGATTGAATCCAATGGTGATTATATTTAAATAAACTTTATATATATGTAACTTGTTTATTTCTATTCGCAGTATTCAGGTTTGTGCTAAACACACCTTTGGACACCCTATATGAAACCTGTCGCAAGCAATATCTACTGTTGTTGAAGAACCTTCTCCAAACTCACCTACGTTTCCATAAGAAACAGCAGTTGTATATTCGTAAGTTCCAGGAACTATTTCTGACCTTCTAATGGCATTGTCGCATTCGTTATACCATTCGGAAACATTTCCGTTCATGGCATCCAAAACTGTTGGCGTTATATTCTGAGCGGCGTACATTTCATATGGGTAAAAATATAGAATAGTTGGATTTATGTGTCATAATAGAACCCACTCGTACCAAGCTTTACTTTCTTCCTGACTGAGTTTTTAACTCTTCTTTTTCCTTCATTGCCACTACTTTCACTAGATGAAGTTACTTCTTCACTACTTTCACTTTGTTCTACTCTTCTTCTTTGGTGTCGCTTTTGGTAACTTGCCCTCTGCTTCAAGTCGTTGCATCTTTGCCTCATGTTCACCTAGTATGTTGTAAATTTCCCATGTCCTTTTTGCCTTTGGGCTCTGGTCGCCCATCTCAGGTAACCTATATCCTAGAAAGATTTTGTCATAGTTTGTATTTGAGTCTTCGCGTATTGTTTGCATGACTCTTTCCTGAGTTTCCGGTTCAAGCTCTTCAAACAGAGCTTGTCCATATGGAATAAGCTCGTTTCCAAATATATGTTTTTGTAGCCATTCTGGTTTTCTTTCCATGTTACCAATAATATCTTTTGTGAATGGGAAAGCTTTTACCCAATGTTTCAGTCTTGCGTCATTTATTTCTGTAGTTGGTTTTATTTTGTCAACGAACATGTTTTTCAATACTAACATTTCATTTGGTACTGTCCATTTGAGTTTTCTTAAATATTCATCCATTCTCGGTTCATTGTCTGCAAAGTAAGTTTTTATGACATTTTGCAAACTTTCGTTTGCAAGGTCATGTACAATAGGTTCTCTTCCTTCTCTCTCCCTAACTTTCTTTCTAAACTCTTCACCAAATATACCATCTCTATGGTTCTGTGTAGTTCTTTGAGATAAATGTTCTAGAACGTCAGGTGTTATATTTCCATCAGCCATGTTCATTTCATACTGGTTCAAAATATCTGCATCTTTCATATCTTTCAATGGCATTAAAGCCGCGCTGAAAATACCAGCTATATCTGGTTCACCATTCACTTCCATTGCGTCTACAACTTCTTGGAATTGTGGTTGTAAGTTTATGAACCACCTATCCGGATTAGCTTTATGACCCCATCTCATTGTAGTTCCATAGTCTGCAGAAACAAAAGTAGGTTTGTTTCCATATTGGTTAGGTTCTGAATGAACTTTAAACAATGTTTCATTTCTATATGTTTTGGTGAAATTTAACCTTTTATTTTCACCGAGTTCAGCCAAAGATTGAACGTTATATGGTCGTAAGTAAAAAGGATTGTTGTATTTGCGTACACTTTCTTTCAGTTCTTCCATTCTATGCTGAATATTTTTCATCTGATGTTGGAGTCTTTTGTATGTCGGCGAACATTTTTCGATATTCTTCTACTATGTCAGCCGAATTTTTCTTAGACTCTTGGAAAGATTCCATATTCTCCGCATACTCTTGTTGAGGGTCAAGATTTTTCGGCTGTTCCAAATCTTCATCTAGTTCTGTGAAGTTAGTTTCCAAAGGAGGGACTTGTTCGTTTCCTTCAGGCTCTTCTAGCTGTTGTTGCTGAACTATTTCTTCCATGTCTGGTTGTATCTGAACTTCTTCCTGTGGAGTTTCTTGTACCTCATCTGCTGGCATTTCATATATTCCGAGACCGTTTTTAACAAGTTCCCTATTTAAGTCATCCGCATTCATAACCCTTTCTTCTTTCGTTCCGTCTCTATTTTTTACGCGTTTCATGAAGATAGTTGAATTATCATTTATCTCTGACACCAAATATCTCGGAGTAAATTCAGTCATGTCATTTGGATGATATGCTATTAAATCATATCCCTTAGCGAGCTTGTATTTTCCAGGTTTGAAATTATATCCCATTTGGTGCTGAACCATAAAGCTAAATAGGTTCGGGTCAGTATTTCCTTCCTTGAACTTTCTAATAGCTTCTTTATATCTGTCACTAAAGTCAAGAGTATCTGGGTAACCATAATTTTCCTTAAGCATTTTTAAGAATTCTTGGTTTCCTTGTTCTCTACTTCTTTTATGTCCTTGCTCTGTTTGTGGTTGTTGCTGTGCAGTGTTTTGAACTGTTGGTTGCTGTGCAGTGTTTTGAACTGTTGGTTGTGGTGCAGTGTTTTGAACTGTTGGTTGTGGTGCAGTGTTTTGAACTGTTGGTTGTTGTGTTGGTTTTGGTGCATGCCTGTGTCTGTGTCCATGTGACGATGTAAATGTTTTAGGTAGTCCTGGTGCAGGTGCTTCTCTTGGAGGGTTTGGTGGTATATAAGTTCCACTAGCTAGTATATAAGTTCCACCAGCTGGTATATAAGTTCCACCAGCTGGCACATATGTTCCATCTGCAGCATAATGTCCTACCTGACTTTTCGTTTTTAAGAAAGCATTTACTAGGTCTGTTTTGGTCTGTTGTAACTCTTTTTCTTGACTTTCCACAACAGTTGCTCTAACGGCGTCATAGGCACTTTGAACTGCCTGTCTCGTTGCTGCATCTGTTATTTTCGTCATATTTTGTGCTACTTCTCTTAACTCTTTGTCGAAACCTTCAGACTTCAGTTTCTTTCCAGATGAGAAGTCGTTCACTAGTTTCACCTTACTATGAAGAGCTTCGAAGGCGTTCTTAAAGTCAGCATTCATTAAAGCTTCATTTGAACTGTCTTCATCCGCTTGTATTTTTGTCCTTATTGACCCTATAAGTTGGGCTGCTTTGGCGTTGGCTTGGGCATCTAACCAGTCATTATTAGCTTTTATATATTCTGCGCTTTTCATTGCCTTTTGCATGGCTGCGTCGTTATTTTTACTTTCTTGTGCTAAGTTTTCATACTGTACGGTTTGGTTTTGCAACTGTAAAAGTTTTTCTGCCTTTACATTTGCTTCAACTTCTTTTTATACTCATCGCTATCCATATATGTCTTCAGGGCTTTTTGTTTTATTTCTTCATCTTTCAGTACTTTATATTGAGTAGTATGGTTTTTCAAATTTATAACATCTTGTTCCATTTTTGCTACTTCTGCTGCTTTTTCTGACACTTTTTTCGCATATTCCTCTGTACTTAGTTCTTTCAGTTGTTCTTCTTTCTTCTTTTTCTCTACGTTTAACTCATTGAGTTTCTTTGTGTGTCTGTCATATTCTAGTTTCTTTTCGTTTTCACTTATTTGTTTCTGTATGTCTATGTTTGACTTTTTGACATCTGTTATTTGATTTTTGAGTGAACTCAAATTCATTTGACTTTGAGGGTTATAAGCTGTTCCGTCTGCAGCTCCACCATAGCCTGCCATTTTCGCTAAAAGTGCCGCTCTTAAACCTCCACTCTGTGCACCAATAACTCGGCTTAAAAGCATAGGGTTGCTTGACATTTGTTGCAACATAGTGGGGTCATTCATCATTTGTTGTTGCAACTGTTGTTGTGGTGTCAGTTTTACTATTGGATGTTTCAATGCTCTCTTCCTCTTACGTATATTCTTACGTAGCTTACGTGGCATTTTAAGTGAAGTTAAAAAGCGGTTTTTGACAGATGTTTATATGACACTTTTTGTTCAGCACAAAAAACTACTCGGTCAAAGTGTTGTCAGTTTTGTAAAATAACCGTCCTATCTCATTCTATAAGGGGGAAAGTCTTCTCAAAGTATACTTCCTTGGAACGCCCGTAACTTTTCCTGTAGCGACGATAGACCCTTACTTGTCCGGACAAAGTTATACTAAACATCTTCAGGGCTAGAGGGCACGAAGTGCCTGGAAGCCCCACTACCTTTTTTTTTATAAAAATTTTAAAAATTAATATTATTTTTTTCTCTTACTACTTTTAATGAGTGAAAAAGAGAAAGAGGGGAAAAAAGAGAAAAGAGAAAAGAGAAAGAAAAAAAGGGGGGCGGCGATAATTTTATATTGTTTTGTCTTTCGGCCGAATGGCGGCTACTTCGTACCCGCCATTCGGCCCCAAAAATGGCGTATTATTCTATTTTTAAACGGTCATGGTGTAAAACCGTCGCATCCCTAATTCTACACATGTTTCTAAATTTATATCAATTTCATATTCATTCTTCAAAAAAGAAATAAAATCAATATTGTTTGAAATTATTGCATATTTCATGCAATTTTCATCTGGATCTTGTTCTTTCAAGCATTCATTAATAATTTCCAGGTTTCCTCCTAAAAATGATAATTGAAGACATTCAGGGGTTATTTCTGATTTGAATTTTGTTCTTAACAACTTAAAACAACCAGCTGATCCATGATAGCAACATAATTCAAGAAGTGATAATCCATGTTCTGATTCCGGATAGAATTTATTTTTGAGAGTTTGATCTTTATCAAATAATTCATCTTCAATGAATTTAACAAATGAATCTTTGTCATCGTCCATAATTGATCTGTACATTGTATTCTTTTCATGGATATCCAATGAAAAAATTTCATTTTCATATTTTTCAAAAATTTTCTGGTGATATTCATCAATTGGTAATTTGTATTCTTTATGAAAGAAATACTCCAAAGCATCTTGATGGTAAAAATATGGTTTTATTTGAAATTCTTCATAGATCATTTTGATAATTGTCCAATATGATTTTAAATATCGGTTATTGTATCTATAAGCTGTAAAAATCAAATCATATATTCTTTCTGGGGAAAATATCTTCGTATCAAGTAGATTCGTTTTAATCATTTGGTAAATTTTTTGAATTTCGTCATTTTTTGTCGTTTTGATTCGCATAAATGATGATAGAGTTTCCTGATAATCTGCATATCTAGTGATAAGCTCATTATATAAATAATGAGAATCATCAACCTCTGCCATTAAGGGTCCACTGTAAGGCCAAATAAGGCCCATCGTCGTCCCAAAAATATTGCTCGAGATGGTGTTTTACTAAGGCCCAAAACTTAAAAAAACTCAAAAAAATTAACTTTCCTCTTTTGAGATCCTTATCAGATATGCATCAATTTGATGCAGTATCGCAGTTCGAATCTGATTTTTTAATGTAGATATACTCTAACATTCTTGAAAAAATGCAAAATAATATTAATTAAGCTTTTCATTTCTGTATCATACACGAAACAAAATCATTTATTATACTAAAATTTATCAAAGTTTGAATAATGAAAAAAATAATATCTAAATTTTTACATTGAGTCGGCTATTGATATGGTCAATATTAAATCGTTTAAAAATGGGCATTGGCCAGAATAATACCCACTAAAATACACTTTTTTTAAATGTTATCAATTTGTTATGGTATATCTTTATGATAATGAATAAAATGCTTATCCTTCATAAGTAAATACATAATTTATGCTTAAACACAAAAAATAACACGAAAATTTTTGGCCAACATATCAAAACTAAGGATAATGTTTTGAATATATAAGCAATAATACTTTGTCTAGAGAATTAAATTTGTGCTATCTAATTGTCAATTCTTTGAATTTTTTTTTAATGCAAGATATCCCGGCATTGGCCTCAATGAATATAAACTACATGCATCATAATATTAGTTTGTAATAGCATAAAAGCGAAATTCCTAATTTCTTCTCAAATAAATTCCTAAAAAAACATCGGAATTAATGATTGGAAATAGGTCAAAAAAATTCCTAATATAAAACTTATACTTAAGATAAAATCAAAATTCGAAAATATCTATTTTTCAAAACACGCATCCAAAAGCGAAAAAATTCGAAAAAATCATGTCCTTATAAAACTCGCCGATTTTGCAATTTTTATCCGATTTGAAGTGATAGAATATATTACCATCTTACAAAAACATATACTTCATTATTCCATTCACAAAATATTAATCAGAACACTAGGAAAAGTGGATTTTCGAAAAAAGACGATAACGATTATTTGCAAATCGCCTCTCAATTTTGAGAGACTTTCAATTTTTACAGTGGACCCTTAAAAATTTTAAAAAGTCGTTTTCAAACGATGAGAAGAACAAATGAAAGAATTCATAATTCTACCTCATTTAAGAGAACAATGTAAATCAGTAGCTAGATATACATCATAAGTAAATTGAGCAGGAAATTGAGGGTAAAATAATCGCACTAATAGGATTTTCCCCCACTATCAGTTTTTTTGGTCCTTGTAGTTATGAAATTTAGATTGACGTTAAACTTGTTTTCATGTGGTCTATAGATCAGAAGCTCAATGCTTATGCAATCTATATTCTATTGTATAGTATCTAGGTTGCATAAGCATTGCAAACTACGTAGTAACTCAAATATTTGTTCTTCCTAGATCTCTCATTCAATGTTATATAATGCATCCTTCCGAAAATATGAATAATACTCTTAATAAAGGATACGTTTTCATGAATTCTATCGCATATATTTATTGCGAATTTGAAAAAAAATATAAATTACAATTTTATGTTTGCTTACAATATCTTTTATAGTTATTGTTATTATTGGATTCAAACAAGTTTAATTTACATTAAAATAAAAATATAAAATATATCTTTGGAGAACAATGAGAAATAACAAGTTTGGCAGGTTTTAAGTGCTTTTGCAGAGTAAACATATGATATATTAGATTTTTTGAATGTTGTAGAAGTAAATGATTCTGAACCTATAGAAGGAGCGGCTTGGCGATCGTATCGATATATAACAACTTCTTCTAAAACATCACCATTACCATAACAAAACTGTGAGCTCAAATCAACAACTGAATCTGGGATATAAATTCGTTTAAGATAGGCAGCACGGTTAAAAGCGCCAAAGTATAGAGATTTTACCGTGTTAGGAATCATATACGATGAAGCAATTTTGCGTAAGGGAAATTGATATAAAATTTTCATATCTTTTGAGAATAAAACCCCATCAACAGAACAAAAATTAGGATTACCCGGGTCTACATCAATATATTCGATTGGCCCATTATCAAATGGATTTGATGGATTCAAATTCTTAATTCCTTTTGGAAGATATAAATATTTTAAAAAATTTGAAAACGTAAAGCCTGCATCTCCGATGGACTCCAGACTATCTGGAAGAGAGATATTAATTAAATTAGGAAATCCAGTGAAAGCTGATCCGGGAAGATCCGTAAATCCTTCTCTAACAATAATATACTTAACTGCGTTTTTATTCGTCCCCGGTGGAATAGATATACTTGTTGTACCTGTGAAATTAATTTCGAGAGTATCACTCAATAGTTATTCAACAACAAGTTTTTTTTTCATTATTTTTTACGGGCGTGTTAACATATTACTTAAGGGCGCACTTACGCCCCTATGACAGGGCGTTCAATTCAGATGTTTAAGGTTAAATTTCAATCACGCTTCACGCCAGTTGTCAAAAATTTGAAACAAAGTCAGATGGGCGTAAGTGCAGCCTTAAATGCAAAAGAAATTTTTTCATTAATCCAATAGTGTGCTTTATTTATGAAAGGATTTTCATTTCCATTGAGCCAATCACGTGCTATATTAATTTGAGGAGTTACATGAAAATTGTACCAATTGTATACTTTATTAATGAAATGGGTTGCTTTTTTTTCTCCGCCCAATTAGTTACTTTATTATATATTGAAGATGTTTTCTCATTAAGCCAATTGCGTGCTTTATTAAATAAAGAAGAAACTTTCTCATTGAAATCAATAATTTGTGGACCTCCAAAAGTGAATGAGAATTACAACTTTTTGTATGCAAATAATACTTTTCCAACACAACAAATAAATAAAATAAGAACATACAAACAATTTATTATAAATACAAAATAATCTGAATAAATACATCATTGCTTTGACTTAATATAAGCTTCTATGGTTTCTCTAACATTATTATTTTCTATTGTCCTCAACATAGTAGCAATTGATTGCCCGAAAATATCTTTCACATCTATATCTATTTCCTTTCTCTCAAGTAGCATTTTCAATATGTCGTTATGGCCTTGGTTTACGCATTCGAAAATAGGAGTTTGTCCCATTTCATTTTTGCAATTCACATCAACGTCATCTCTTTCCAAGAAGTATTTAACCACATCATTCAGTCCTTTTGCACAACTTACATGCAATGCTGACATTCCGATATTATTTTTATCATTTGGATCTAATAAATTCCTTTATATGAATATATTAACAACATTCATGTGATAATTGCTTAAAGCAAGCATCATTGGTGTTTCTCTTAAAAGTGTCTTCAAATGGACATCAACGTCAGGAAATTCCAACAATTCTCGAACGCATTCAGTGTTTCCATGGAAGCATGCATGATGTAAAGGTGTCCATCTTTCAATATCAAATGCATTCGCATATGCACCCGCTTCACGTAATAATTTAATTATCCTTGAATCTCTCAAACAGACATAAACAAATTTGAAGAGCTGTTTGTTTATGTCTGTTTGATATCGACAAATTGATTTTACTGTTTGTTACTAATATTTTTACAGTCTCATACGATCCGAAACATGCTGCAAGCATCAAAGCTGTCAATGTATCATTCCCTCTTGCATTTATATCTGCTCCAAGACTAAGAACTAATGACATTGCGTGGAAATTGTTTGCAATAGCACATGTGTGAACAACTGAATATAAAGTAGATGCAGCTGATAATACATTAATCTTTCGTGTATTTAAAAGCCACTCAAAAACAGCATCATAATAAAAAAGTGATGCAATTTGTAAAGTGTTTGTTTCATCAAATCTTCTTTGTTCGATTAAATGAATGATTTCAACGTTTCCTCCAACAATTGCGAAATGTTCCGGGTAGAAGTTATCATCATCGCAGATGTTCAAATCGGCATTGTTGAGCAAAAGGAACTTAAAGCATTTGATTGATCCGTATGCAGCAGCGTAAGAAATCAAAGGAGGATTTGCATGGCAAAAGAAACAGTGTTCAAAGAAGTTATTGGAAATACGCATGTTCAAATCAAAGTTGGACATCATTGAGAGATCTTGCAATCTGTTCATATCATCATTCTTGCAGCATAAGGCGAACTCATTATGTTGACATCCGGCTTTTATAAAAGATTTGAGTAATGCGTAGTCATCGGCAACTAAATTATCCATGTTAAGCTCTAGAAATAAGGAATTTCCTATTAAAGATGTCCCTTGAACGTTGGCTGTTAAGAAATTTGCTAAAAACTTCTGACATTGGGCATCCCTGATTTCAGGAAGAAAAAATAAGGCCATAATTAATGAGTATCGTGATCGTAGTTGGAAGTTTTTGAGGACCCTTACTTTGATATCTTCGATATCAAACGTTCCAAGTTCAATACACATTCGTAAGACTGCAAATATCGGTATTTTATGATAGATAAAATCTAAAAGTACTGGTTTCATAAAGACCTTGTCAAGGAGTTCACTGGCAAATTCGCTCTTATATTGATACTTTTGAGATCCGCATGCAAGGAAGTGAATGAAATGAGCATATGCATTCAATGATTTAATACGGCCTGGCAAACGTGGAACAAGCTTATTGCAGATTATTGGAATTTTTTCTTTCTGAGTAAAGTAAATTGTTTGTGCGAAACGACCGAGTGTATCACTAACATTCTCGTCTTTTAGGTCAAGCAAGATTTTATCAAGTGCAAAATCATTATCCATATTAATTTGCTCTCAAATTAAAAAAGTGCTATTAATTTCAAGGTACGTTTGTTCGGTTGATTTTGTTATTATTATGCCATACAGATATTCCGGAAAATCAGAAATTGAAAAAGAAACGGTCAACAGTTCAATTTTTGAATGAGGTTTTCTATTGAAAGTTGAAATAAGAGATGATATAATTTTTAAGAATGTATTTTTACGATAAATTAATTAAAATTTCGAATTCATTAAAAATCGAACTAATTTCTGAATTAAAATCAATATAGATACGCATAATATCTTCCTATTAGAGCAACACAATGCCATATGCAAAGATGAATTGCAATTATATTCATATTATAACTCAAATTTATAAATTTCGGAGTATAGTGTAAAGATATATTATCTATAGTACGAAACTATCTGCGTGTTTAGTAAATCAATGACAAATGTTCAGTAAATATTGATCCATAAAGAAAATCTTTGAACAATACTTCAAAATTGGTCATATTTGTAAGATTCAAAAGGGGAAATGATTTACCATATAATTGAAGATCATTATTTTGATTTATAGTATAACTATTGGTTGGAATAAATTTTGATTGTTCGTTTTCTTCTTTAATTTTTTAATTGAAAAAGATATTTAGTATCTAAATGTGTATGAAAATATTATCCATATAATTAAAGTTAGTTAAATCTTATTTTGAGGATTTTTTGAAATTTCGCCAGGGACTAAATAAAAAATAAGAGACTTTGCCTCTAATTATATAATTAGAATGAATCGGGTCTTAAATATTTCCGCTTAAAAAGGTAATGCTTTGATTAATTCCAGATATTCAACAAAACCATGTTTTTAAATGGTAATCAATGGGTAATTTCCATATGATATTAATTATATTTGTGTATGTTATAGGAATGGCCCGATTTAAATGCCTGTAAGAGCCATTTAGCGTACAAAAATGAAGTGTAAAAATTAGTTTTGCCAGTTTTATGAAACTCTTATTAGAAGGATTTGCTTGTTCTGGGGATATTATAAAATAATACATTCCAAATAATCTAATCTTATGAATTTTTTTAAAGAAAAACTGAATTGAAAGCTCCGAACGAAATGTGACATTCCGATCACTCAGTAGCCTCTCAAAATCGAGAACTCTTTCAAAAAGATTAAACAATTGACCAGTTGGGCATTCAATTTTCTACTATTGAGAAGGTTCCGAAATCAAAATATCAATGTTTGGTGACGGCATTGACCCGCTTACTAAGTACCAGCGCCCACCAGTCCAGTGCTACCATGGTGGCCAATCCTTCAGGTACTGCCCAGATTTCAAATGTGACTTCTCTGTCACAACAAACGTTTCTGGCCCGCCACAACACGCCATTGAAGCAGCAAAGAAGGTCTTCACTGAAATAGAGCATTATCCAGATCAAGATGCCTGGGTTCCAAGATGCCATGTTGCTGATGTTCTTGGAATCAGCCCATTCCAAATCCGTGTAGGCAATGGAGCTTCCGAATTCATCGATATTCTTTCTCGTATCTGGAAGCCAGGAACAACATGGAGGCCATATCCAAACACAGTCCAATACTTAGAGTTCAAGCGCGCATTTACAAACGCTGGACAAACAGAAGTTGCTGTTGATAACGCAAACGCTGAAGTTACAATTATTGTCAATCCAAACTCCGTCACTGGTGAGTTCATTGACCTTCCACAAATGAGAGAAATCATCGCTCGCGATTCCAAATCAACATTCATCATCGATGAGTCATTTGTCATGTGCTATGGACCAGAGTGGTTCAACCATTCTGCCATCCAACTCATCAAGGAGTTCGGCGACAGAGTTATTGTCCTTACATCATGGACAAAGGTCCTTGCCTGCCCACTTCTTCGTCTCGGAACAGTTATTTCCACAGAAGCAATGACCCAGAGAATCGCAAAGATCCAAGCTCCATGGACTGTCAACGGATTTGCTCAGGCTTTCTTCGCAAATGCCATTCACGACACAGACTACTTCAAGGAGATGTGGGATATCACACCAAAGTGGAACGAAGAGATGAGAAAGCTCCTTACAGAGTATGGAGGCGAAATCTATACAAACGCACCAACATGGGTTCCATATGTATACGTAGACTTACATTCTAAAGAAGCTGCTGAGAGAGCAACACAACTTGCCTTCGATAGCGGCCTTCCAGTGAGACATTGCGACGATTACGGCTGCCCAACAGCTCTTAGACTCGGCGTTCGTGATATCAAGTTCTTGCAGATGTTAATTAATGTTTGGAAACAGGATGAACAACTTGAATCGTTAGTTCATGCTAAATAAAATATAGAAAATTTATACTACTCATATGTAATTACTTTTTAGAGTTAGAATTTTAACTAGTATGCCATATTAATTCTATTCTGCTCAAGATTTTTTTTTCCCCGGATGGGATGATTTTCTACGTGACGTCACTTTGCGTCATGGTGTAAATTATTCAATTTTGAATGTATGCGAGTGTAAACTACTATGGAAAAAGCGTAGGGCTAAGTCAACTTTTTGAAAAGTAGGGCTCTATAATGAGTTTTACAATTGCGTTGAAGGCGGCGACCTCGTGTATTTTAGATGGTCATTCTCTCGCTCATTCATTAAAAATTGTAAACGTCACAAAATTGAGACCCCTACGCTTTTTGGAGCAGAGTTATTTGAATGAAAACGATTATTTTTGAGAAGTTTACGGCGTCACATGAAAAAAAATCAATTAGGGAGCGTCATGCAACAAGTGTCAACACAGGATTTCATGAATCTTGCATCTGGCGTTTTTACTAATTGAAAGCTCCAATTACCCACATCTGAAATGTTAGAGAAGTATCCAGTGCATCTACAATTAGATTCGGATTCACCCTTTAATATAGGCTTAGGAGATATTTTTCCATGATTTTTATGGATATGATATATGGTCATATAGCGATATATTATCAATCAAAAAATATAAAAAATATTTTATAAATATGGAAATATAAGAAAAAAAAAGTTTAGCCTAAAAAACCAATTGATCGAAATTGAGGGCTTTGGCAAACCGACTACAGTGCACCCTTAAGACATAAAGATTTATCCAGTAAACACACAATAAGTGTAGAAGGAAGGGAAATCTATTCAAATTTCTTTCGTGATGCGTGTAAACTCTTCAAATAGTAATGTAAACTTTTGAAATTTCTATAGTTTACATTATGATGCCCCAAGACGCCGATGATTTTTATTTCTCAATGTAATTGGAAAATATCGATGATTATTACCAACTCATGATATTGTCATCTCTTTTAATACTATCATTAGTTGTCGACGACACCGTGTCGTTATATACAATGCATCAAGGTGATATCAATATGCGATTTTGCTATATGATCTGATTGGATTTGTGTGACAATGTCAAATAAATTCTTCAATAATTTATTGAGAACACATTCACATCACCTTAAATTTACTTGCACGAAGAATCAGCTCGATGTATTTCCAAATAAATTGCAAATATGGCAGAATTTGCTATTTCACCTTGTGCAAATATCGGGTTTTCCTACAAGTGCAAAAAATGCTCAAAAAAATTATTTTACATTCAAACTGCGCATTATTTGTGCGTTTAAAAATCTATCCGCGTAAAGTAGTCAAAAGATGTAAGCATTTTCTCTTTAATATATTTTGCAATTGTGGCTATACTTTATTAATGGTTTTGATTATTTATAATAGTCAACTCCAAACTTTTTCAAATGCGCAAAATTTGCGCAGAAGTTCGGCTGTTTCTTCACTATTATTAAATGCTGCTTTATGAAGAGCGGCTTTTCCATTTTTATCTTTTTCATTAATATTTATTCCATGTGAAATAAGAAGTTCGGCTGTTTCTTTATTATTATTTATTGCTGCAAAATGAAGAGCGGCTTTTCCATTTTTATCTTTTTCATTAATATTTATTCCATGTGAAATAAGAAGTTCGGCTGTTTCTTTATTATTATTTATTGCTGCAAAATGAAGAGCGGCTTTTCCATTTTTATCTTTTTCATTAATATTTATTCCATGTGAAATAAGAAGTTCGGCTGTTTCTTTACTATTATTTATTGCTGCAAAATGAAGAGCGGTTTCTCCATATTCATATTTTTCATTGATATTTGCACCATTTGATAGAAAATATTCGCAAAAAGATGGAATATTAAATTTCACCGAAATATTAAAGCATTTGTTAACATCATTGGTTTGATCGAAATAAACTAAAAATGATTCAAAATTATTATGCAATCCACAATAAAGTAAATTTATCTTTATTTGGTATTCGTTCATCAAGAATGTAACAAAATCAATGTTGTGTGAAATAATTGCATAGTCCATGCAATTTCCATATTCTTTTGGTTTTTGATATTTCAAACATTCACTCATGATATCTGGATTTCCTCCTAAAAACGACAAATTAAGACATTTATAAGATACATATGATTGAAATTTTGTTCTTAAAAACTTGAAACAATCAACTGCTCCATGGTAACAACACAATTCAAGTAATGAATATCCTACTTCAGAATATGGATATAAACTGCTTTTAAGCCTTTGATTTTTATCAAACCATTCTCTTTCTGTGAATGCAATGAATCTTTCTAAGTCATTATACATAATTGCTCTGTAAATTGTATCTTCTGTATGAAAATTGAGATTTTCAGATTTAATTTTTTTGAAATTGTCCGATTTGTTTAATTTGATTCCATATTCTTTGAAAAACAAGAAGTTTGAAATAGACTCAACATCTCTGACATCTGTGACATGGTAATCATCAGATATGAGTTTGGCAAGGGATAAATATGACTTTGTATAGCGATTATTATACGGAATAATATTTAAAATGTCTCGAATAATTATTTGTGGTGGATGTTTATTTGAATCAATCAATTCTGTTTTGATCATTTTGTAAATTGAGTTTAAATCTTCTTCTTTTTCAGTTTTCAGCTGATATAACGCATTATATAAATCAATGTAGTATTTACAGATACTTCGCAGTTCGCTGAATTTATTTGGATAAATGTCTTTGTCGGACATTAATAATTTTTTTTTAAAAAATGACAAATTTGCATATTAACATTTAAATATCTTTTAAAGTCATTATAATAAATAAATATTGTTTTAGACATTTGGAAATCAATGATCACAAAGATTTCGGAAATAATCTATGAACTTTAATTACGTTCATAGGTATTAAATGATACAGTAACAATGTGAAAGTCGAAATCAATAAGATTTACATCCAGATGATTATCTTCAAACAAAATTATACAAGGCATTTCAATGAATTCATTACATTTGAAGTTTCAATGAACCCGACAAAAATTTTAATGCTAATGTTCATCAGTTGTGTGAAAATTTAAAAATGAAATGTCAAATTAAAACAAATTTCGGTCACATCTATTGGCGTTAATACTTTTCGAAACCACTCAAATCTTAAATCCATATATATATATTCCTAACTCTATCACACTACTTGCCCTTGATCGTTTTGTTTTGAAATCCATATTTGCAAAGCCTTATGTTTGAAGAAAGATATAATATGCCTTTGAAATTTGATCGAGGGTTTTTATATAAATCACATAAAGCTCCAAGAAATATGTTTGTCAACTTATGTTGCAACATCAATATTAAACAGATAGTTTGTTTTGTTATGCTGCAAATTAATGGTGATTGTTTTGAAGATGCACAACCAGAAGTTTTTTAAAATAATTGTGAAATTGGGTGTTTTTAAGGGAGTTTACAAACCAGATATTTTAGAATATATTGATCATATACTAAAAAACATGATTTTGAATTATAATAATAATAATCTATAATAAACATTTTATTTAAAATTTAGGTGAAGGTGGAGGTATAAAGAGTATTTGCATCAGCAACTCAGGATCTGTTATACTTCTGAATGCTTCAGACAAAATTTCTTTGTCGATCAGGTTCAAAACCTGAACGAGTTGAGCAATTTGTTGTTGTTCAGCATCAGGATGAGTAATGATCATGTTCAAACTGAAGTTTGCAACTGCTCGCTGCCAATAATCAATTGGAAACAGTTGCTTTATTTTGACAGTTGCCAAATAAATAACATTTGTTACTAAAGAAAGTTGTTCCAAAGATATATTCGCTCTAAATATAGAATCGGCGATACCCAATCTCAGAAGATTGATACCATAAACATCTGTTCTATCATCTGAAAGGAGATTCCCAACAAACAAAGCTCCTTCATCGAAGAAAAAGAAAGATGTCAAACGAGAAATATCTTCGAAATTAATCAAAGCCGTTTTTCCTGTTGCTCTCAACATATGAAGCAAAACATTAAACTTCTCGTAAGGAGCATAATCACCTCTTATCACGTATGGAATGATTTGGTCAATGACAGAACTCGGAATTCTGTAAAACAAAAGTGTCAAAAGTGCTCCGCAATACTTAATATCATCATGAATAATTGATGCGACGAAAGGACCAGCAAATTGCATAATAAGTTGTGTAGAACCACATCTCAGCAATAAAGCTAAAGCCCTGTAAGAGTTGAAGCTTGAAAGACTCAAAGAAAGTGTGTATTCCCATGTATCTTCCCATCCTTCAGCAAATCGTGGAATTACTGAAGCAACAACTCCTAAAAATTCTCCAATAACTCGCATTGTTGAAATATCCATGTGTGGATTATTAAACAATGAAGAACGGCCAATAACAAAAAGAACATAATTAATCATTTCCTTTTCAGTTCTTTTGTTTCTCATCAATAAAGAAATTAATAATTTCAACATAGATTCATTGAATCCATAACTCATCATTTCCCAAAGTAAAGATAGAGTGAATGTCCATTCCAAGTTCACTTCTTTCTTCATTTTGATGTAAGTTGCAATAGTTGTATAAACTTCATTACCAAGTTCTGAAACAGTTCGTGTTTGTTTGCAAACGTTTGTAATGAAATTTCCAACTTTTTCTGCAAATTGGTTTTGTAATTCAGGGATTGGTTCATTCAGGATATCCATCGCTCTTCCTGCGATTCTGATAAAAGTAATAGGATCATTCTGGATTGTTACCGTTGATGCATCAATTATAAATTTATAAGCAACATTTGTAAATTCGCATTCGTTTTGTTTCAAAAACTTGAAATAAGACATTGCGAATGTCAATCCCATAGACAATTTATGGCCTTCATCGAATACAGTTCTAAATGCATCTTGTATTGTATTCGCGTAATTGTTCAATTCTAAATTATCGTTGCTGTCTTTTACTTCACAAAAAAGCGACACAAAAGTATTCAACATTTTGTAGGCAGAAGAATGAACTGAATGATCTTTGAGGGCTAAGACAGCTGTTGGGAATGACAACAAATCTTCGATTTTATCACGATTCGCAGGGTAATTTATGAAGATTTGCTGTGTAATTAAGTCAGCAATTGTCATCATTGCTTGAATAACTTCAACAGAAGGAGAAACTCTCATGTTTGTACCAACAAAAGGTACTGTTCCTTTGATGATGACAAGTTTAGTAACGAAAACCCAGAAATTGACATTTTTGAATCGAAAAAACAGTTCTCTCATCTTCGATTCTCCATCACAAAATCCTTGTTGAATAATTCCCAAAATAATTGGAATATCTTTTGCACTCTCCAAATACTTGAAATAAGCATTGAGAATAGGACGTGGTTTGTCAATCGTGAAGTCGTATTTGATACTAATTTGTCTGTCACTTGATGATTTCATCTCCAATCCAAGTAACAAACTCAAATTCTTATTGAAAACTTGGTGTAAATATGTGTCAGAAACGTGTTGTCTCAGTCTTTCATCGTTTCCACTTATATTTTGTATGCATTGTCCCAAGTAATACAATGTTTCTGTGTTCCTGACTGCATCATTGAATGAAACATCTTCAAGGATTTCGAATGTTTGGCCAACGAAATCACCTGTGAGCACATTCATTTCTATCAAATGCAACATTGCAAAGAACATGATTGGATGTGGATCTGTAACCATTAATCTCTCCAATGCTAACAAACATCGTATTCCATCAACTTCTCTTTCCTTTGGGAATTTTAGTTCGCTTATAATTGCAGCAATTAATGGTGGATTTGATGTTGGTTCTTCAATGTAATCCATCAATTCATCGTAATACTCTGGTTTAATGAGAATCAATGATGCAATTGCTGCTCCTTGCAAACGAGTTGTTCGTGCATCTGTTGATGTGAAACTCAACATGTTCTTGAGACTTTCTTTTGGTATATATTCACCAATGAAATTCTTTTTAGTTACAGCATTAATACACATTAATCTGACTTGTTGTAATAATTTGTCTTTTTCTTTTTCTTGAGAAAACAAATTCAAACAAGTCGATTTCAACAAAGTGTGTGCACAGAAAACACTCCAAGGACTGTAATCCCTCAAAACAATCTTGATTAGTTCTTCTCTCATAGGTGTTCTTACATCGGAAAGTATCAATGTGTAAATTGTCTCCATTTTATCACTTGACACTGTGTAGTATTGCGAAGGAAGGTTTGTTTTATACAATTCTTCACATAGATCAACATCATCTTTGCATTGCCTGCATCCCCAATCGTATTTGTTTTCACTAGGGTTATAAAATCTTTGCAAAATCGTTGGAGTAGCAACGAACATTGATTGTGGCAAAGAAATATGCCAAGCAGCTTTGCATGTTCTAATAGCAAGCCACATAGACAACAAGGTTGGAGAAGAAAGATAAGCGGCATTATGTGTAACAACAACAGAAACTTGTTGAATTGTTGGTTGTAAACTCAACAAAGTGTCAATATTTGACATAATTACTTGTTTCATCAACATCGCACCAAATTTCATTGGTGTATTTAAGTTTATATTCTCTTCTGTGATCTTCTCACCGTTCCTGAATAATCTAGGTAGTTGTTTGAACGCTAACAAGATGATTTGCATCGGAAAATCAATTGGTGATCGTTTGAAAACAGCTGTACACAATAATAAAGCGGCAGAAAATCTTGGATCTGTTCTTTCGATGGTTTCTGGTAACCAGTTCTTAATAATCTCGTGGATCTTCAATATACTGCTTTGCGCAATGTTACTTGTCATCACAAGAATGGCAATGCCACGAGAATAACCGTTAATTTCGAGCGGTTTTATATCGGTTGAATTTAACCAAGAAATGAAAGAATAAACCAAAATCTGAGAAGTTTTTTGATCTCTACGGCCAACAATGACAAAGAATGAACATAATAATCTGACAATTTCGCGATCTTTTGAAGCTAATAATTGATAAAAAGATTTAGCAGCTTTTTTGATTGTTTTCGCTGAAGCTCTAAAGTTTATCAATGTATCAAGACAAATCGCGGTGTTCATCATTCCGAAACCTTCCTTTTTCGAGTCATCAAACACATAATGACACAAAAGTGGGTCATAAGTGCTTCCTATAACAGAAGTAACGGCTCTAAATACTGTACGACTAAATGTGCATGCATAAGGTAATGGAAGATTCAAAGAGACGATAGACAAAGCAAATTTAGTAAATAATGAAATCTTTTTTGAAATATCATCAGGTTGGAGGAATCTTATCCATATCATCATGGTATGACATAATAAAGGAATGTTCTTTTCGTTCTTTGCGTACTCCAAAATGGTTGAAAAACAAACTTTGTAAGGTTTTTTCGGATCGTAAACAGATTGGCCTAAACCGGTCTGATCCTTTTGTTGGCCTGTAAAATAAATCATTTTTGCTAAGGATTTGGCAATTGCAAAGCGTAATTTTGAGTTTTTTGTTTCAAATTGAGATTCAACTGGCGTGAAAAGCTTTTTCATACCAAGTTTTGTAGATTCCATGATGACAGGAAGTGTTTTAATGCATTGTATTTTGATTTCGTTGTTTGGTGAATTCAAACCACGAGATATGTAGTCAATAACTTCAATAGCTTCATCAAAAACGTATGAATCAGTTCCTTTTATGATTCTCCTGAAGCATTGAACAACAAATGGTAGTATTCTTGTTTCATTTATTCGTAATAATTTTCTGATAAAGTCTCTGAGAACCATAATTATCTTTTCTCCGAGATGTTTTGCAAATACGCCGAATATTATAATAGCTTGTAATGATCCGCTTTGTATTTCATCTTCTAGAAGAGGCAGAATTTTCCAGTATTCAATGTGCGTTCTGTTTTTATAGCATGCAACTGCAATTAAACCAGTATATATCGAATTTACAAAACTCAGCTGTCTATTATTTGCATTTATTAAGTAAACTACTGTAGGTTCAAGATCAAATTGGTCTGTCATGTATCCTCGTGATATCAAATTGTTCAATTCTTGAAGCTTTCGACCAATTGCAAGGTTTGGGTTCATTAGATTGTCTGAACGCAGAAGGTTGTTTAGGTCGAAGATTACCTTCTGCATCAGTTACGAAATAATGATATTTCAATATATCTGTTATAGTTATATTCCGAAAATCTTTAAATCATGATTATACGAGGATATGAAATGTCAAATTAATATTTTATCACCATAGGCTTGAGTTAAGCCAAATAGCGTTTAACAACAGTCTGACATTAGGTGTTAATTTATCATGCAAATATCTATAGCCATATTAAATTTGAACATATTTGCAAGAGATATTGTGGTTTCTCTTTATTGAGGACTGTTATCCTATGATTCAGTGATGCTGTTGGAAAAGTTGACATCAACATAAAAGAAAAAATATTATCAAGAATGGAACATTCAGAAATTAGAAACGCACTAAGTGAAATATGCAACTACAATAAAGAGACAAATCAAATTTCTAGTTTGGGTGACTAATTTAATATACTACCAATGATCAAATTTGCTCAATTAATATCTATTAGGCTTGAACAGAATATTTTACGTCTATGGAGCTAATATAATCTAAGAGATTTGGATACATCTAAATCAAGTGACTTCTCTTGAAAAGATCATCACTCTAAACTCAAAATCCTTGATTTTAAAATAATCGATAATATTCTCTTAGGATAAGCAGAATTCATCAATATTCTACATTTTTGATACATCATTTTTTGAAAAAAAGTGACAATTTTGATGACACTTACTAAATTTCAGGTTGATAAGTGCGCAAAACTTATAGAAAAATTACTTGCTAAGCCAATTTGTCTCCCATTTATTGATCTCGTCGATCCAGATAAAGATGGAGCTCCAGATTATCTCCAAATTATCAAAGAGCCAATGTCGCTTCACGAAGTTCAAAAAAAGCTTAAAAACAATTCCTACAGTACAATTGATCAATTTGTTAGGGATGTTAATCTTATTTGGTCAAACGCAAAAGAATATAACGGCGCAGATACACTTTTTTCACATATGGCTATGGAAGCTAAAATTTGGTTTGACGGAAAGATGAAGCAATTCTCAAATACTCCAGAAGAAGAATGGACAAGAAAAATCCAGCGTACTACTCAGAAATTATTAGAAGTATTACAACACCCACCAGCAGAGCTTGATCCATCTGGTAAATTAGCCCACCACGAAGGCGAGGCTCCAAAATAAATGTTAATATTTATATAACCAAATTATTTTTTTATAATTGATGGAATCCTATAGACGTATGTGTTTTCCGTGCTGATTCTGACCAAAATGTTCGCTTTAAATTCATTTACAATTGATTCTTATACACAGTGATAATTTCTGACAATTTATACAGCTCGATTACTTGTCAAAATTGTCAAAAATTTTAGATGAGTAGAAAAACCGATCCGATATTTAGGGGTAATAAGCAAGCCGATCCAGAGAATCCATTGGTTGATCAATTTGATGATCAGGTTGACACCTTGCAACAAACAATTGGCGCTTTGAAACAAGTTTCTAACGCGTTAGGCGAAGAACTAGAAAGACACAACACTTTACTTGATCAAATGCAAAATTCATTCCAAAAGAGTGAAGATCTTGTTAATAGATTGCTCTCAGGAGTTGATGAAATTTTCAAGAAAACAGGATTAAGCCCTACAACTTTGACATTTCTATTTGTTCTCGGAGTTATACTTTTCCTTTGGCTCTATTGGAAGATTTTTGCTTAATCTTATCATTTTATCATTTATAAATTTCATATTTGTTTTCTGTTCTTTAAACTCAAATATACAAGATAAAAATATAAGTACTTTCTATCCAGTTAATTGTTTAATATATAATATAAGAAATTATTTATAAATAATTCATATTTATTTTATTGGATTTTACTAAATGAGAAAAGCATTTGATAAACTCATGGGAAATATCCTAAATTTGATAACAAATGCTGGTTTAAATGATATCAAGGAAATTATGCATTTGAGATTAATAATAAAAATTCCTGAATAATAATATTATAGATTAGATGTCAATACATCAAATTTAACATATAAGTTCTATTGTCGATTTTGCACATAAATTTATACTTGCAAAACCTAGAGGAGTTTAAATCTCTATTATCTTATTTAAGTATATTCATTTCAGATGCTGAAAGAATTACTGATACTCAACTATGAAAGCTATACCACATCATAGTATTCATTTGGAGAAAACCAAGTGATTTTTAGAGCCATATTAATGGAAAAATCAACTTGTAAGCTGCTTGAAAATTTTTGTTGATAAATCAGCAATATATTCATCATCAGATTCAGCAAGCTCATTAAAAATGTGTTCAGTATTTAAAATATTGAAACATTCGCAGAGAAATTCTCTTGCCGTATCATTTTGCATACAATTAATCCATACTTGGAGTGCAGTGAGAATCTCTCCAATAAAAGTATTATCATCAGTTGTTTCAATCCATTCCAAAATTAGAGGAATTATAACATCAGGATGCATCTTATTTAATTGACTCTTAGAGACATTCATAATTATTGAATTAATCACTTTAATACACCAATATGAATAAATCTGAGTTCTATCTAACAACAAAGAAATCATATGATCAAAACATGTTAAATCATTTTCAATTGTTTCAACTACAAAAATATTTATAAAACTTGGAAATCTTTCGATATATTCATTCAGATAATTAAGCATTTGGCAGGTTGATTCATCTGGAGGGAATAAACCATCGAAGATTGATTTGATTGGAGCAAAATTAGATTCACATAGAAATTCATGTGGTATATAAATAAGAATTGCTCTTAATCCTTTGTATCCGACTTTCTTAACTAATAAAAATGGATGAAAGACAAATTTTGTTAAAAATAAATCATTCCAATCATGCTTAACACAGTGTTCTCTAAAAGGTTCTATGTTATGCTTTATTCCCTTTATAATAGCTAATCCTGAATATATTATTGCATCTTTTTGGCCTGATTCGATATATAGTTCTAAAGATTCAATAATTTTAGCGTATTGAAAGTTATCTAGCTTCTGGAAATAATCTAATTCTTTTAGTGTGAATAATGCATAATATGGTGTTAATGAATAATTCTCAGGTTCTCGAATAAAATAATCATAAAATAGAAGACAAAGCTCTTGAAAACCTTTCATGTTATTCAATATTAAAATCATGAGATTCATAGTTATTTCATTGCATGATGATTCAAAGAGCTTCAAATAATTTGACAACATCTCATTTTGAAAAATTAAAGATGAATATTGAGTATTATAAGTTGTGATTGCACTTAGAAGCTTCAGTGAGTCAAGTACGATATCCTTATTTTCAGAAAATAAAAAGCTCATAAAATCTTCTAAAATTTTGGTATGGTCAATGCATTTTAGCAACTGAAGATCATTACGTGAATTGTTGATGAGTATTTCAACGAGTTGATGAAGTGATTGACCAAAAATTTCTTCGTTATTTGAGTTTTCTTGAATAAAATTAACAAGATTAATTACTTCTTCGGTTTGTTTAGGTACTTCTTTGATATCGTCATTGGAAATGTTTGAGTTTTCGTCAAAATCCTTTTGAATTTCATTCATACAATAAATTTTAGGGGCGAGTATTTATTCCCCCTGCAATCAAATTAAAAAAGTGAATCAAAAATTTTGGGACAGTATTTCTCAAATTATTTCAGTGAAATATGTTTCTCAATGATTACAAGTATATATATTGTGATTTGATTTTCGATAATAAATCTGAATCAAATGTATATTAAACTCGCACATTTAGTCTTCTTATCATAATAATGTTATTAGTTAGTGACTATGGCTACAAAACAAGCAAAATTAGATATGTATCTCATAATCAAACGGAAGTTAAGCTAAGATATTTGAGATTTTATCACCTGGTAGTATGCATGATACTATACCAGAATGACTAGTCAATCTGTTGTTTTAATATCGTTTTAAATTTTTTATGCCAAAATAGTACTCTGGCTATCATTGGTAATACGTAAGGTTGCTACTGTTGTAATATTTCGAAAAAATAAAGGTATCAACTTTAATGCAAGATATGATGAGTTGAACATCGAATAATTGGGTTTTTGTAATACTAATCTTCTTTAGTCCCTAGTATATCATTGTTTCATACTAATAACGTGGATCAATTCCGTTTCAATGATCAGATAAAGCAGAAACAATCTCCTCAGGTGCCACTTTTTTGGTCTAAAAAATGAGTTCCCCCCTTTTGTCTGGAAATAAGAGCCATTGTTAATATAAACAAAAATAAGGCGAACCGCTATTGAACCTTTGCAAATATGATTTCAAAATTACAGTATTGTTAATATAGACTCAAAGTTAGAGAAAATGTGAAAAAGTTATCAATGTAATAGAATGAAAATCTTTTATTATAAAATGATATTATAATCCGAACTTCATGGTTGTTCGATATTAGTAATATTTATCATAAAGCATGCACTACTGGATTATTCATATAAAATCTATTTTTATTTGATGGCGTACAGACCTCCGATTCTGGATGCCTTCAATGCCCCTTTGACAATCATAATTATCATCATACTTTGCATAATATATTACTATTTAAACAGCCGAAATGTTCCAATCGAAAACGTAGCAAGTAATTCACAATTAATTTTAGATCGAAAACAATATTGGAGAACAGTAACTGCTAGCTTTTCTCATTATTCTTTTCTTCACCTAGTAATGAATATTGGAAGCTTTTATACAATAGGAGGAATAGAAAAATATTTAAAAATTTCACAATACTTTAAATATATTGTAATTCTTACAATTCTTCCTCCAATAATCGACTCATTAATAAGAAAACACTTCGATATCAATCCAGAAATAAATGGAGTTGGATTTTCATGTGTTTTATTTGGATTTGAAACAATCATCGCTAGTTACTCGTCACAGATAAATGTATTCGGTTATCAGATTCCAATTTCATTCATGCCGATTTTCAGTTGCATTGTAATTTCTATTTTAGTTCCAAACGCCAGTTTCATTGGGCATATATCTGGCATAATAATTGGATATTTAATCACATGGCACGTTTTTGATTGGATTACAACTCAATTTTTCTGGAATATTTTACCATGGATTGTTATTTTGATGCTTCTTAATTATAAACGTAGCTTTCCAGATAGATTTAAGTTCTTTTCAATGTCTAAAACTCCTCCAACTACAACCCAAAATGGAAATCTTGTCCAAACTCCATAAACTAGTACACTGCAACTTACTTCCTATTAGAATTACTACACAATTGATTTCATTGGTTTAATTTTTTAATTTAAATTTAAATGGCAAAATAATTAAGGTAAATCAGTTCACATTGATAACAATTGGTCATAAGTTTGCTTTTATGTATTAAATTATTGTACTTTTTTCTGTTTTATTACTAAAAATGTTTTATTATACATTACGTTAGTTATATTTTTCTCTGTTCATATATATATTAATCCGTTGATAATTGAAAGCGTTAAATCGTCAAGGAAAAAATCATTCAAAATGGCAAGATAAAAAATTTAAGTGGTTACATTAATATTTATTAATCTATTCTTAACATTTCATTACCTAAAAGTAAAGTAACTATCTATTTTATGAATGATTATGAAGAATGAACAAATTATAAGAAGCATAATTCCATGAAAGCTTCGTCTTGTGGGAATTCAATGCCCTTTAATAAATCTGGGAAACTTATACTATGATGATCGTCTTTTGGCTGAATTTGTTCTTCTGCCTGATTTTCATTTTCTTTCTTTGCCATTTCACCTTCAACACGGAATTTTATGAATCTGTGCCATCTGTTTTTGATGTTATTGATGTTTCTTCCTTCAAAGAAATTGGAAATTTGTGTCCAATGAGATCCAATTTCAGATTGAAGCTTAATCAACAATTGATCTTCTTCTGCGGTCCAAGGTTCTTGTTTATTTGCCTCTTTTAAGTAGATATTGTACCTATCTTTACATTGTCTTGCTGTGAAATTTGTCATTTTCTCTGCTACCTTCTTCCAGTTATGTGTACCAATAGACTTGATAATAGAAAGAAGTTTCTCATCATTCTTCTTGGTGAATGTCTTGCGAAGGCTCTGGCTCATTCAGAAAATGAACAAATATTAAGGGTGCACACGAGAGGATCATGTAAACTTCAGAATTTAGAACCTTATTTTTAGGCATTATCTTGGCTATCTATTTAGGCTCGAAAAGCAAAAAATATCAAAAAATACAACTTGACTCCATTATGACCCTTTCATGGAGGTAGTTTTTATCCGCTAGTATTTTCCCTTTGAATCTCTTTACAATTCGAAATCAAATTCAAATCTCAGTAGAAGAAAGGAAGAATCGACTTACTACGGTTGTAATACGAATAAATACATATATTTAATTATTTTTATTTACATAATAATTGTTTGAAGCTCATATTCCATCAAATTTTTAAATAAAAACATTAAAATGTTGAAAATGTTCATATATTTTAATAGGGTTTTGGCACTTTATTGAGGAATTACTACATACATAGTCGAACTGAACTTGATATTTTGAAATTTAAATTATTTATCAAAATTAAAATTTAACTTGAAATTTATAATTATTTAGTCATATTTTGCATAATTCTAAGTAGATTTTGTAAAAAATCAAGAAAGAAAAATTTTAACGTGCTTTATTTTTTCTTTTTTATAATAATACAAGGTCAGGTGAGTGGGGCTTCCAGGCGCGTTGCGCCCTCTAGCCCCGAAGATGTTTAGTATAAATGAAGTTTTTATTCGGAAAATTGTTAGTCTTCTGGTGTGAATTCGGAGGACTCTTCTTGGATAGAGTCTTGTATTTCCTCCTCCTCTTCTTCCTCCTCCATTGCTTCTGGGAAGAAGCCTTCTTCTGGGTCGAAAACATTATATAATGTGTAATTGAATGACACATTATATCTTTCTTTGAGTTCGCTCCTGACAAAGAACTTAGTTCCAGGAATACAGAAGACTTCTGTGCGTTGGAAAAGCTGATGTCCTGGAACGAATTTGGCAATTAGAGACTTCTTTTTTCCGAATTGTTCAGGAGTTTTCATGACGACAGTAACAACATCTCCATCTGCGAGGTCTTGTTGTTGTTCGGAAAGGTAAAGAGCAATGATATGAATGGTTGCTGCGTTGAATTCGAGAAAGTCGAATTCAAATTGTGTTGTCGTATAACATTCAAACCATTTTGTACAGTTGTCTCCGAACTCGTCAACGTATTCATCTTCGTCATATCCGTAACTAAAGACTTGGAATTCGGCAATTCTCTTGTCGAATGACCGTTGGATGTAACGAGGAAGATTTTGACGAACTTGGTATAAAGTTCTCAACATTATAAGCTTAATAAATGTTGGAAAATACTGAACTAAGACATCGCTAAGCTCAATTGGACTTGGAATTGTCTTAGTAAGTTCAATTGAACTAGTAATTGCTTTGTTCAGAACTTCACAGAACTGAGTATTGTATGTAGCGTCTGGTTGTGTGTTTTCTTCGGCGTCTTTGAGATATTTAGAGCAAATTTGTTGAAGAATTTCTCTTAATTCGCTGTTAGACTTTTTGGTGGTTATTCTAACCGCTGTGCCAGTTCTTGGAGGTTGTGGGCTTTGGCTTTGGTTAGCGGTTGAGAATTGTTAATGTTTGAATTGTGGTTAACAGCGTTGGCTTCCATTAGATAAAAATGAACTGACCAAAAAAGACAGATATTTAAATATTTGAGATGAACCGTTTTCGTCAACGGTAACACCCTCTATTTTTATTTTATTTAATAGTTACCGTTGGAAAAACGGTTTATCTCAAATATTGAATGAACTATAAACGTTTTTTGTTTTCTATATATACTTTTTTGTCCAACGGTAAAACTTTTTACACAACGGTTTTTGAGAGTCGTCGCCGTTGACTTTTTTGTAGAGCACTCAAAATAGTATAACTTTGTCCGGACAAGTAAGGGTCTATCGTCGCTACAGGAAAGTTACAGGCGTTCCAAGGAAGTATACTTTGAGAAGCCTTTTCTCCTTATAGAATGAGATAAGACGGTTATTTTACAAAACTGACAACACTTTGACCGAGTAGTTTTTTGTGCTGAACAAAAAGTGTCATATAAACATCTGTCAAAAACCGCTTTTTAACTTCACTTAAAATGCCACGTAAGCTACGTAAGAATATACGTAAGAGGAAGGGAGCATTGAAACATCCAATAGTAAAACTGACACCACAACAACAGTTGCAACAACAAATTATGAATGACCCCACTATGTTGCAACAAATGTCAAGCAACCCTATGCTTTAAACCGAGTTATTGGTGCACAGAGTGGAGGTTTAAGAGCGGCACTTTTAGCGAAAATGGCAGGCTATGGTGGAGCTGCAGACGGAACAGCTCATAACCCTCAAAGTCAAATGAATTTGAGTTCACTCAAAAATCAAATAACAGATGTCAAAAAGTCAAACATAGACATACAGAAACAAATAAGTGAAAACGAAAAGAAACTAGAATATGACAGACAGACAAAAGAAACTAATGAGTTAAACGTAGAAAAAAGAAGAAAGAAGAACAACTGAAAGAACTAAGTACAGAGGAATATGCGAAAAAAGTGTCAAAAAGCAGCAGAAGTAGCAAAAATGGAACAAGATGTTATAAATATGAAAAAACATACTACTCAATATAAAGTACTGAAAGATGAAGAGATAAAACAAAAAGCCATGAAGACATATATGGATAGCGATGAGTATAAAAGAAGTTGAAGCAAATGTAAAGGCAGAAAAACTTTTACAGTTGCAAAACCAAACCGTACAGTATGAAAACTTAGCACAAGAAAGTAAAAATAACGACGCAGCCATGCAAAAGGCAATGAAAAGCGCAGAATATATAAAAGCTAATAATGACTGGTTAGATGCCCAAGCCAACGCTAAAGCAGCCCAACTTATAGGGTCAATAAGGACAAAAATACAAGCGGATGAAGACAGTTCAAATGAAGCTTTAATGAATGCTGGCTTTAAGAATGCCTTCGAAGCTCTTCATAGTAAGGTGAAACTAGTGAACGACTTCTCATCTGGAAAGAAACTGAAGTCTGAAGGTTTCGACAAAGAGTTAAGAGAAGTAGCACAAAATATGACGAAAATAACAGATGCAGCAACGAGACAGGCAGTTCAAAGTGCCTATGACGCCGTTAGAGCAACTGTTGTGGAAAGTCAAGAAAAGAGTTACAACAGACCAAAACAGACCTAGTAAATGCTTTCTTAAGAACGAAAAGTCAGGTAGGACATTATGCTGCAGATGGAACATATGTGCCAGCTGGTGGAACTTATATACCACCAAACCCTCCAAGAGAAGCACCTGCACCAGGACTACCTAAAACATTTACATCGTCACATGGACACAGACACAGGCATGCACCAAAACCAACACAACAACCAACAGTTCAAAATCCAGCACCACAACAACAACCAAAACCAACAGTTCAAAACCCTGCACAACAACCAACAGTTCAAAACCCTGCACAACAACAACCACAAACAGAGCAAGGACATAAAAGAAGTAGAGAAAAAGGAAACCAAGAATTCTTAAAAATGCTTAAGGAAGATTATGGTTACCCAGATACTCTTGACTTTAGTGACAGATATAAAGAAGCTATTAGAAAGTTCAAGGAAGGAAATACTGACCCAAACCTATTTAGCTTTATGGTTCAGCATCAAATCGGATATAATCTCAAACCTGGAAAATACAAGCTCGCTAAGGGATATGATTTAATAGCATATCATCCAAATGACATGAATGAATTTACTCCGAGATATTTGATGTCAGAGCTAAATGATAATTCAACTCTCTTCATGAAACGCGTAAAAAATAGAGACGGAACGAAAGAAGAAAGGTTTATGAGTCCGGATGACTTAGATAGGGAACTTGTTAAAAACGGTCTCGGAATATATGAAATGCCACCAGATGAGGTACAAGAAACTCCACAGGAAGAAGTTCAGATACAACCAGACATGGAAGAAATAGTTCAGCAACAACAGCTAGAAGAGCCTGAAGGAAACGAACAAGTCCCTCCTTTGGAAACTAACTTCACAGAACTAGATGAAGATTTGGAACAGCCGAAAAATCTTGACCCTCAACAAGAGTATGAGGTGAATATGGAATCTTTCCAAGAGTCTAAGAAAAATTCGGCTGACATAGTAGAAGAATATCGAAAAATGTTCACCGACATACAAAAGACTCCAACATCAGATGAAAATATTCAGCAAAGAATGGAAGTACTGAAAGAAAATGTACGCAAATACAATAATCCTTTTTACTTACGACCATATAACGTTCAATCTTTGGCTGAACTCGGTGAAAATAAAAGGTTAAATTTCAACAAAACATATAGAAATGAAACATTGTTTAAAGTTCATTCAGAACCTAACCAATATGGAAACAAACCTACTTTTGTTTCTGCAGACTATGGAACTACAATGAATGGGGTCATAAAGCTAATCCGGATAGGTGGTTCATAAACTTACAACCTCAATTCCAAGAAGTTGTAGACGCAATGGAAGTGAATGGTGAACCAGATATAACGGGTATTTTCAGCGCGGCTTTAATGCCATTGAAAGATATGAAAGATGCAGATATTTTGGACCAGTATGAAATGAACATGGCTGAGGGAAATATAACACCTGACGTTCTAGAACATTTATCTCAAAGAACTACACAGAACCATAGAGATGGTATATTTGGTGAAGAGTTTAGAAAGAAAGTTAGGGAGAGAGAAGGAAGAGAACCTATTGTACATGACCTTGCAAACGAAAGTTTGCAAAATGTCATAAAAACTTACTTTGCAGACAATGAAATGAGAAGGGATGAATATTTAAGAAAACTCAAATGGACAGTACAAATGAAATGTTAGTATTGAAAAACATGTTCCTTGACAAAATAAAACCAACTACAGAAATAAATGACGCAAGACTGAAACGTTGGGTAAAAGCTTTCCCATTCACAAAAGATATTATTGGTAACATGGAAAGAAAAGAATGGCTACAAAAACATATATTTGGAAACGAGCTTATTCCATATGGACAAGCTCTGTTGAAGAGCTTGAACCGGAAACTCAGGAAAGAGTCATGCAAACAATAAGCGAAGACTCAAATACAAACTATGACAAAATCTTTCTAGGATATAGGTTACCTGAGATGGGCGACCAGAGCCCAAAGGCAAAAAGGACATGGGAAATTTACAACATACTAGGTGAACATGAGGCAAAGATGCAACGACTTGAAGCAGAGGGCAAGTTACCAAAAGCGACACAAAGAAGAAGAGAAGAGTAGAACAAAGTGAAAGTAGTGAAGAAGTAACTTCATCTAGTGAAAGTAGTGGCAATGAAGGAAAAAGAAGAGTTAAAAACTCAGTCAGGAAGAAAGTAAAAGCTTGGTCCGAGTGGGTTCTATTATGATATATAAATCCAACTATTCTATATTTTTACCCATATGAAATGTACGCCGCTCAGAATATAACGCCAACAGTTTTGGATGCCATGAACGGAAATGTTTCCGAATGGTATAACGAATGCGACAATGCATTAGAAGGTCAGAAATAGTTCCTGGAATTACGAATATACAACTGCTGTTTCTTATGGAAACGTAGGTGAGTTTGGAGAAGGTTCTTCAACAACAGTAGATATTGCTTGCGACGGGTTTCATATTATTTCTATTGACAACTCATTCTTATACGTGGAACAAGACATTGAAATAAAACTTCTGCAAGTTGTCTGACAAGAAAGGTTGCAATGGAATTTTCTATGTCGGATACCAATATGCTCCAGAAGTTTTCATGGGATATAAGATATATTCTAACTCTGACTTAGTTCAAACAGTAACATGGGCAAACTATGAATGGTTTGCTTTGAGAAACTCAGTACAACCACAAGCTAGAGAACAAACAGACCAGTATGCAACTATTGAGAAAATAAGAAGACTTGACCCTAACGTTCCAGGAGTTTATGTAGTTAGTATCTCTAAGTTGCGTACTGTGGCACTGCGCGCCTCCGTACACCACTTAGCGGTTTTGACACTTTACGAAACCGGTAACGTATATTTTACAACTCAACCATAACACCAACTTAACCTTAAATATTACAAAACCGTCTGACACATAAACGACTTCACTAATGACTTCACTAACGACTTCACTAACAAATTCACTACCGTCCTCACTAAATAAAAAATAACCTTATTTTTATTTTTTTTAATTTTTTATTTCATTACAAAGACATGTCTGACTACATTTACTATGACTCTTTCCCAGAACGTTTCCGTGAACTATTCAAAACTCAAGTAAAACTGAGAAACATGCATTTTAACAAAGACAGACCCATTGACGATGAAAGAAACCCTGAATATATTATAATACCTTATGATGCTAAATTTATTGCATACATTCCTTATGGACGTAGAGGAACGAAAACTATTTCAACAATGACGAAAAATTATTTCTGGAGCGATGAAGAAAATTGCCCTATCTACATAAATGCATACTTAAATAAAGCTACATATTGTACAAAAGAAGGTTGGACTGGATTTGAGCTCTACATATACGACGACGATGGAAACAGACGTTGTGTATACCCATACGATAATATGTACCATTGTTTTCATCAAGCATTAAACGAATACATAGTCAGTAAGGGTCTCATTCCTGTTGAGTAGATATGCTTTATTTTTGTTCCCACATTTATATAAAATAATAATATCACCACCCTCACACGTATGAAAACATAGCACAAAATAAATTTAGGTGAAGTGGTGAAATCTCACCTCTTTTTTCCACCCGGTTTTTCACCCTGTTGAATTCATTGCTTTATAACTCTCTCTTCTCCAACTCTTCTAACTTCTTCTTAAGTTCAGCAATGTTGTCCTCATGAAGTTTAATCTTTCTCAAAATTCCTTCTTTATCTAATGGTTGCTTTATCTTTCTAAACTGAACTCTACCATCCTTCATAGTATGAATGTAAAAACCTTCTGGAAGTTCCTGATTTAATGTATTACAAAAACTTTTGTTTCATTGCTTCAGTGACTTTATTTGTCATTTCAATCAAATAAAAATTTTAATATTAAATAAAAATAACGTTATTTTTTAGTAAGGAAACGCAGGAGTTTTACGATTTATTTGAGGAGTAGGTTCTGGTTTAAATGTTGGAGTCGGTTTAGGATTGACTTTTGAACAGGAGTTTGTACTTCCATAGGTTCAGGAGTCATTGAAGGTTTTGCTTGTGAAGGCGTTGGTTTTGGCGAAGGTGTTGGAAGTTTGTTTAACTTCAGCTACTTCAGTATTATTTACAACATTTGCTTTATTTCTTTTCAACATCATAAACTCCTGCTGTAGCTAGCAAACCTAGTGGAGACCATATCTTATATAAGGACTTGACCAAATGCTATTTTTGACAGGAGCTGGTGGAACACCTAACCTTGGTGAGACTGCTCTTTGCATTGTGCAGCTCGTAAGAATACAATAGGTGCTCCATAATCGTTTTGGTAAAGTTTGTTTCATAGATGGTGAAGGTTCACGAGAGCTTGATGAAGAACTCATTTATAAGCTTTAAAAATAAACGTTCATCCTTTATTCCTCACTGTCGTCCGTAGCTAAGTTATAGTCATCTAATCTTATTATGGGGATGCCATTAGCACGCACCTGAATGGCAAAGCAACATCCCTCATAAATCCAATAAGTGGCTTTGGTACATTTTCAGTTGCTAGTTCAATAGGTCCTTTAACAGACAATTTGTATGTTATTGGAGCAGTAGATGTTTGACCTTGCTGGAAGCAAAAGTCCACTTCTGTTGGAAAACCACATAAGAAATGTGTGTTGTCATAGCTATCCCATTTATGTTCCACACTACCATCATCCACCAATGACCTCATAACATCTTCATTAAATCCTATCATATCATTGTTTGTATTGCAAGCGTTCGCAACCATTTCATAAAATACAGGTCCATATGTTTTTTCAGGTTCTGCAGGCATATTTCCATAAGCTCCCATGGAAAGCTGAAGATATTTAAACTTAGGGTTCTCAAAATTAACATAATAGTTGTCTTTCTTTCTAAATAGTGCCCAAATACTTTTAACATTAATAGGCGTATAAGCTGCTGTAAATGTTGCACTTGAACTATCTGTATTCTTTGAGAATGAACCGTCCATAGGAATCCAATCCATAACTTTAACAGGAAAACATAAAGCCTCGTTTGTATAATGTTCTACAAGTTCTGTATAAATGTTAGGGTCTAAAGAGAATGACTTTGGATGAATGAAACATTCATTAAAATCCATCTTTGTTCGAAATAGTTGCTGGGTTACAGTTGTAATAGTAACTGTTCCACTAGCTTCTACTGACTTCGTTATCATAGTGAATGGTTCATTCCATGGAACAAATTTATTTGTCGGTGGATTTGAATCTGAAGCAAATGCAACTTTAAGAGTTGGATTGAAAGCAATGATATCATTTACAGATATAGATGTGCATTGTAAGGCGTCGCTACTGAACTTTACTTTAAGCTGAATGTTTCCTGCAAAAGCTGGAATAAATCGAATAGCTTCTAGTGGAAGGAATCTTCTAACAGGAATTCTTAAACGAAGCTTAAAATCAAATGATTTTCCTGCTGTAATTGGACCACTAACAATTTGTCCTGTTCTGCATGTTCCCGAATGACTCCATACATCTTCATGTCGAGTCTTTGAGAAAACATCTACTTTCTTTATTTGTTCGGTAGTTTGTGAGTTTGAAGTTATATATGCTTCTTCTCTTGCGTTGTCTTGAGAATATACGATACGACCATTTGCAAGGATTTGATATCCAGCAACTGCATAGAAAGCGTCATCGAAACCAATCCAAAATCCTGGTGGGTTTGTTTTATTGGAACCTGAACCAATTTCTTTATCTACAATAAATTGACCTTCCATTTTATACGTAATGAATGTATTGTAAAGGTCCAACATATTTTCACCAGGAGGTGAGAGATTGAATGTTACCCATGTGTTATCTTTAGCAGTTCCAGGTTGTGATGGAATCTTTGCGTCAGAATATTTTCTATTAGTGTCACCAATTTGAACTGCATTGTCTATGATATCGAAATATGAGCGAATCTGATGAATATGCTCTGCTGGAGTAAATTCGTTTAACTGTTCGTTCTGCATGTATTTACTTCAGATAAAAATATCTATTTACTTCATTATTCTCACTCTTCTTCTTGGCATTCGTGGTGGAAGTTGTTTCTTGACATTTTCAATGAACTGTACATTCTCTTTTGTCTCAACTTCTTTCACTGGCGGGTCAGGATTCTTTGACTCGGTTTGTTTTTCAATGAAATTCACGAACTTTGCAATAAGCTCTTGGTTCGTTATTGAAAGTACATCTGGCTTCTTTTCTTCTGGTTCTATTGACTTTTCAGTTTGAATAGAAGGCTTAACATGGGCTTCGCCCTCGGTGCCATGCACCTTAATACTGTCGCTTTCTGCATTCGCTAATGGAACCTTTCTTTTTCTTACGTATATTTTACCATCTTTACTCTGACTTACGTAATAGAAAGGATGTTGTATTCCTCTTGCGTCATTTAATATAATAGACTCTCGCTCTGATTTTGACAAGCTCATTTTACATCGGTTAAAGTTTTAATTTTGTTTTTTATCTGCAGTCAAATGACTCAGACAAGCCCTACGGACAAGACCCAAGGGGTCATAGATGTTGAAGCATTGAAGAAAGAAATTCGTGAGCAAATTTTATCCGAACTGAAGGAACAAAAACAAGAACAAAAGCCAGAGAGACCAAAGAGAAAACTTAGTGAAAAACAACTTGCTGCATTAGCTGCTGGAAGACAAAAGAACCCAAGACTACTGGCGAAGAAAGCTAGAGAAGAAGCTGAAGCAAAAGCTAGAGAAGAAGCTGAAGCAAAAGCTAGAGAAGAAGCTGAAGCAAAGAAAGAGTAAATGTGTTATTTTTATCGGAACTAAATGTATAGACAAATACCTTTATCTGTTGCGTTCAGTAGTGAAAACCCTGACGTCAAAATAAAGGGGAACAGAGTAACGTTTAAGTTTCCAACAGTCTGGATTGTGAACATAAATGAAGAGAAGTACATTGGCATAACATCTATGTATATAACACGTGCTTTCAGAAAGGTTGACTTTATACTTCAAGTCGAGATAGAAAATGACGAACAGTCTTTAAGCGCCCAAAACATTCACATATACAAATACTTCAATGGCAGTACGACGTTAGAAGACTGTATAATTACATTTTACGAAAATTTTCAAAAGAAGTTTAACATTGAAGTACA